ATGGCTATTATTCCAATTCCTTGCTATGAGAGCAACCTAGGTTAGAATCGTAAATGTCGCTCTTTTTTCTGGTGTCGGTTGGAATCCGTATCTTTTTTGGAGATTTCTGATATATAGATACATCTAGATATACAGAGTGATCTGTCATTTATGTATTCGTATCATGAGCATGATAGATGTGTCTATTATTCTTTACAGTATTGGAATTTGTATCTAGTTGGTGATTTGCTGTAACATGACTGTACGATCCTATCAATCCATGTCTTCTTACACGATTTTAGCAAATTATTAGGTCTGGAGTGACTTTTATGATTTTGTGTGGAGCCAACTAGCTAATAACTCTGCTCGTATTAACAAATTGTTTAGCATCGCTACAATAGCTAAATACAAACAGAAGGGGACATTTTGGTCAATCCGATTTTTTTCTTAGGCGGGTAAATTGGCAGTTGACATTCAGCATACTACGTGTTCGAAGGCAAATATCTCTTAGATTAATTAGGGCTAAGAGGTCCGAGGTATAGTAATCAGCCTCATCTTAAGAAGACTTAAGTCTTTTCGTAGTGTCTTCAGCTACAGATGCTAAGAAGCTCTTGTCTTTAGGGAGTTGTCCCACGTTTTTATCATTATTCAGTGGCCATGTTTTAGTTAGAGGTGCTAAATGGTTAAGTTTATCTTAGTATAGCGGTAAATAAATAGATAGCTCTGTAAGTCCTCGACATTAGATGCTGACCACATTAGTTTTAATGGACTCACCTAGCTGAAGGCGCTCGGTCATGCATCTGCACCAGATCACGAGTGGGAACACCGTGCTCGACATCCCCTGCAATCGCTAACCTGATTGGATTAGTCGACCCACGATATATTGATAGTCTATCAAATAAATCTTCGAACCTCCTCGCTTCTGTCTTTTGATTTCATTTAGTGAGTACGATTCACATTAGTTGTTACTGGTTAAGGCATTGTCAAGCTCCGAATACCTGTGGCATCCTCAGTAGATTTCAGAAAGAACGTCTTGCAGCTGCCGTATATCGCAACTATAGCGTTCAGTATTTTGATTTAAGACTAACAGAACGTTAGACATCTTGATTTATGAAATTTCGGTTGTTGGCCCAAGTCAATCGTACTAATAGGCACATTGTGTTGATTTTTCGGTATATGTGGTTGTTATACGTCTAATATCAACCAGTCTTACTCTTGGAGTACGACATGAAGAACTGAAGACGTTATGGCACAGATAATCGGGTGGTGATAGTGATATTTGTAGATAAGAAAATCAGAGTTCGAAAGACGATTCATCAGACATTAGTATTAAATATTTCGATGTTTTGGTTGATTTGGAAGTTGTCGATGGCACTATTCCACTGAAAATTACCACAATTGAAAGCTGAGTAGAGAGCTCGTTTAACTGAATTGAATGTATTGGTATATGATGATTGTTAAGTATTGATGAGGTTTTTCGTGCCTGTAGTCAACCCTCGTTCTATTGATAGAAGAAGCCAGAGTAGTCGTGAATAGGTTTTTATTTTGATCGTCATAGTGGAGCAGGCGTTCGCCTTTTCAAACCCAAAAAGCTTTCCAGCATTCAATGTAAGACAATACGAAGTACAACGTCTGTAAGAAATAAGGAAGTGAGTGAATAATTGAGATCTATTGTTGTTTGAGGTCAAATTGTAACTAATCAAAGCTGTTATAGGTTGTTACTAAAATCGGTGAATGTGTGTATGGGAGGAATTTTAGAGGTAATCTGTTCATTTATTAAGTGATATAGTGCCGTTCAATTGGGTTTTTTATTTCATTTAGTACAATCAGGAGATGAAAACCTGTCAGTATTAACCATTAAGGACTTGTACGGAATATTTTGAAAAGAGGTGGATGATAGGCATATGTTAACTGGTGAATGACAGCTAAAATGTATCTCACAGAGGTAGAATGTACCCTTTACACAAGGTTGTATGATAACTTCAGTATCATATAATGCTGTATTACACCCTACAAATGAACTAGTCGAAAGAACATCAAGACCTCATGTAAAGGTAAAAAGACTACAGGCAGTAGTCAGTTGAAAACTTGTGCCAGATAACTATTCTCATTCTGATTTGTCTGCTATTACAAGTTCTCCGTGGTCCCTCACATTCACGTGGTCAGATCATTGCCAATTGAATCATTTATGTGAATGGTTGGTGTCGTTTTAAAAACCGAAATACCAATAATCGGTTTGAACGTATAACTAACGGACGCAAATTTATTCTATTAGACGAGACTGCGTTTCTTTGTATGGTATACGTAGCTTTCTTGAGTTGCTTTTATTAAATTATCTCGAAACGTAAACTCTGTGTTTAATTTAAATGTCTCCAACTTGACTATGTGAGTGAATTCTGTCAAGAGCGCGAAGTACCTCGAACAGTACAGTCTGTGCTGTACATTCAAGGGTTTCACTAACAAAAGTTAACGTATCAAACAAAAGAGGGAATATTTAATAAAAAAGAGTTTGACACATAAGAAATAGCAAAAATATTCTCAACAATATGGGACCAAATAACTATCTGCACGGGTTTCGGCAACCTTTTCAAGCAGACGGTCGGAGGATAACAGCCAGTTACTGAACCACGCCTCAACCTTGAGGTTAGTTAAACGCGACCTTGTAGTCAATAGCTCAGAAAAACGAAGTAGTAAAATTAGGCAACATAGGTATGTCTTTAACCAAGGTCACATGGTAAAAGCTCAAACGAGAAAGACTAAAGAACATAACGCGTGACTAAAACAAAACTGAATAAAGTTTGAAATACACGACAAGGAGAAGCAACAAATAAGTGACAGTGGTGTGTCATAAAATACTCTGGAGAAATTTCCAGTGCGTTCTTTCCTCACACAAGTAGTGGTTAGCTGCTTCTTTCATATGGTGCGATAAAGTACATATGATAACTATGTTAAACAATTTTCCTTCATAAGAATTTCCCGATAAATGTTTCTAGATTTATGTAGATGCATTGAAGTCCCTCTAGATTAAGTATCAATCGCTAGGAGACTGAGTGTCAATTTCGCCTAGAAAGATATCATTCAACTCGCAGTTTGGATTCTGTCAAAACAAGCCAATCTGCCATTTTTGTTTCTTGCATTTCAGGCAATTACTAACTGCTTCACACAATTTATTTTCATGTAATTTGTCATCCATAACAGGAAAAATTATTTTTGAGAAATAAGGCTTCTCGTTCATTCTTCTGAGTATTATTGGCTCTAAAGAACCCACAACTTACACATAATGTTCCCTATGATCTAGGGTATTAGTCAGCCACTTTTCCACCTTGGAACTTTCATCTGGGTTGATGGAGTCTAGAATAAAGCCAATATAACGTTTATAACGAGTTATGGGCTCAGAAATCTTGCCCCTCTGTAGTCTGTGAACGAGAACTGGCTTGGTGCCGCCAACAGCCTTTGGCTTCCCGACTATGGTTAGGGAGTTCAGCCTTTCTCTCGTGAATTTAGATCCTTATTCTCATTTTTACTATGAGCCCGTACCTAATCCTAGGTTATCTCCGGAGTTTCAATCAGGGTTTGGTCCTATCCAGTTTGAGAATTAAGGAAAGACCTGGATATTCAGGTTTTACCTTTTGTCAATCTTACTGTCAAAAACAGACCTAACCTTACGATAGGGCTTGCTAGGTTTTTTCCCGGCTGCTGCAATTTAGGGGACAAAGCACTGAAGAAATCTGCTTCGTTATCTGCTTTATTGAGTTTTTATTTTTGATAAACCTTTTCACAGATGGTTCTTCATCCCACGTGATCTAATCCTCTTTTAGCTTGCACTTCGCTTTTTGTGCAGATGTAGTAAGTACCATCATATGCGTCCTAACTAGGGGCAGCAAATTAGCGCCCGGCACAATATGTTACGTTCAAGTTTTTGCTCTCTTCCGTTATTGAAGTATGATATATCGATCTATTTGCAGTTTACGAACCCAAATTAACAATAGAACCAAGCTCCAATCTAGGTACCAAAGTGTATTCGCAATTTACAGATAGTCAAACTAACAATTATTATAACAATTACAAAACAAACCTTCAATTTTGTAGGTTCCCGAAGCAGAACCTCTCAAATACCAAACCAGAGACAAAGAGAAAACGAAATATCCAAAAATACTGATATGTACAAACACGTTCAGAAGTTGAGTAAAACAAATACATCCCAAAATAACAGTGAAATCATTATTATTCTATAGGGATGTTTTAAACAGTCAAACATCTTCAGTTCTCCTGTAATACAAATTTCTATAGCTACATTTACCAACACAACAGCTGCTGGTAACAAGCTTATTGGATCCGAGAAGCTTAGCGGAGATAACCACATAAATCTTGTTAGACTAGTGAGGACTTCCTAGTACCACCTTCTGCACCCGTCACTCTGTATACCATTACTCACAGAGTAACGAATACTTGACCGTTGGAAATCACTTTTTTGCGCTGTCTATTTATCAGTCAAATAACTTTGAAAAAACAGACAGAGGCAAAAGCTGACCCAAGAATTGGATTAAAAAACAAAGCCGAACCGACAACCACTAAGTTTGAAATGCACAACGACCAGAAAAACTATCGTTCCAAAAAGAGTACAAACGTAAGACCTCTCGTGAGATACGACACTGTTTTTAATACTTTATAATTACTGAATTGAAAGTAATCTTATTGCAGTGAAAACGGTAATCCTGATCAAAACCGATCAAAACGATAAAATTCAACTCACCGAGGTTAGGTACAACCACACTCGTTTGAACAGAAGTCTAAATAGAGCTCCTGTGCACTGAGTTAATCAGTAAATAACAACAACGTATCTGGTGAGATCACTGAAGTCTAAAACACCTCGTTGGAGAGTGATCCAGCACAGCATCTATGGGCTTAAAAACTGAATGCATGGGATGAATGAATCCAACGTCAAAATCCAAGACCTGTTATCCTAAATCTGATTGATTCGTCCATAACATATAGTCTTGCCGAACTGGCTACAATTTGCCATGGTTGTAAGCGGTACTGAACCACATTCGTCGGTGTTGAATAAAGTAAGACACCTCAAGGCTGAGTGAACATGTTGTTATTGCTCACAGCTTTATAGAGCTGAGAAGTTGACATAAAAGCAGATTAGAAAACTAGGTTTGCTTATGGTTCTTTATGAATTTCAGCAGATCGACACTGGAAACACTGGTCAAATGATGAGGGTTTGATTCTTCAGCAGACATTGTTATGGGTTGTTGTTGTTCTTACCGTTATTATTGATTTGTCGTTGGACTATTTTGTCGGTGCCCATTCTCATTGTGGGAGGTACGCTTGATAAATCAAACACAATCATTTTGAGAGATGGACGTTAGTCTATAATCATTCTCTAGGGGTTTGGTAGTTTGCGACATATCCCGACGGAAATTATGAATGGCAACTTTTGAGAACTATTTGTGGACAAATATTATACGTATATTCTTATTGTATGGCTATTGAGTAACTAGATGATGCAAATATATATTCCACTTATTGTAAGCTTCATTTCGACTTATAGACTGTTTTTATACGATTTACCATTCTTATGTTATGTCTAGTCTATTAACTACAGTCCCCCACATTCACAGTCACTTTCGGCTAGAACTTGTACAAATGTTGCTCCCTATTTTGTGATTCGATGTAGTCTGTTTGGTTTTCATATTAACCTAGTGTGTTTGAAATACATGATTCATATCACGGATGCTTAGATTTATGTTTTGGACTCAACAGGCAGGGCTAGGCATGAAGAATGACTGATAAAGTCTCTAGATTGTTCATACTGGTGTAGGGCCAGTGAAATGTCACTGAGCCCTAGCCAAATCATCCGGCAGTTGGATCACTGAATGTCGAACAGATCATCGCTCCCTGCCAAGGTCATGTACAACAAACGCGCATTAGTTAATGGTATGCCATGGACTGGCCCATGCGGCAGTGGTCTTACTTTCGCCTGTATCTACCTTAACTAATATATTTCTGTAATAACGTCCTTTGTGTTGTACAGTCTTCAAAGCATCTATAGTACCTTGTTACGTCAATGGGGTAGTCCACGTAAGGTGCTGACCACGAGGTGTGACTTCGACGTTAGTTGGTTCGTCACACTATTCACGTCTAACTCGGGTCGGCCTCCAATCATTTCGACATAGATCATCTACGTTGATGATCTACACTGGTGAGCCCGACGTGGCTTATACGTTATTGGTCTGGTCGATAAGTCACTATTCTCTAATATATTAATAAGGGACATGGCCACAAGTTATAACAGTTTGGCCCAAGGAGTTTGTGACTATTTATTGACAAACTTCTGTGTCTATGATCCAAATAGACTTTTTTCTCAATTTATTCTCATTAACTGCAGGCCGACCCGATCTATATCTTTGGTCCTACGACACGAATTTCGCTATAAGTCCCTGTTGTAAACATTCTGTAACAATATTTTATGGAATATATATATAAACGAATAGCAGTGGTCATAGACATTACATATTTGCATTTCAGCATATCTGTGAGTAAGAAGCGTTGCTGTATTAACAGGCAGCTGGATACCGAAATCGAAGAAATTCAAGGTGTTTTAGATTAGCACTAAACAAGAAAAACAGTTTTTATGAGCAAACATGGATAGTGGCTAGCAGTGGAATCCAAGACGCGCGTTTCGTCCCATTTGGGACTCGTCAGCTGGATGTGCCTGCATCTCAGAGTTGATGTTCACTCTGGGACTCGAACCCAGTACCATTCGCTTCAAACGCCATCGCGTTATCCACTCAGCTACTGAGACCTGATAGCCACTTGCTTGTGCAATGGGAAGAATTTGAATTCACTTGGTATTGTTGGGCTTGCGTCTTCCCATTGATTAGACTCCACTGCTAGCCACTATCCATCTTTACTTGTGAACTAAGGCAATATCGAGGCATACGCACAGTACGCACATATGCCAATAACAGACTGATCAATTGCAGTCTTAAACCTCAATCGGAAGGTACAAGCCAAACAATACCAAGTGAAAGAAAGAGTTTATTGTAAAGACTGAGGCTTGAAAACGTGGCACCTTATATGACGCGATATTGGATGTTACATCATATTTCATCATAATTAGAATGGGATTCAGTGAAAACTTTCAAAATTTAATGAGATATCAAATCACTGCTTCTCTCTGCACCACAACACAAACACGTTTGCATAACTTTGACATATCCTATTAGGCGGGGGTTTTAAACGTTCCTCTCCGTGCTAAGACTCAGTCAGGTTGGTTTTCTATCCTTTGTGTGTTTTCTGTCCGGGACAACTGGCATACTGTATTTGGTATTTTTGTCAACCACGCCATCGTTAGGTTGTCTACGCGGTCTACCTAAGGGGTAACTCCCAGAAACTAGAGAAAACACATCAGAACGGACTGTAGACATAACTTCTACTCCTTAAGAGTTGTCAAATGATGGAATTCGCTGCCGGCTGAGTTAGTCCAAGCGACTTCCCAGGAGTCCTTTAAGAGGTAACTTGGCCTATTGTTAGGGACTAAAGATAATATCTTACTATAATTTACCAATTTCTGTTCCCTCTATTATCGTTAATACCGCTAAGTTCTTGCCTGGAGGTATTGGTGATCCACTGTTACCAGACACGGAACCCCATTAAGCGAAAGCTATTCTGTCTACAACCATTCAAACCATTAAATATAAATAGGACTCACAGATTACAAACTTTTGAATGTAGAGACGAATGCAATTGATCAAATAGTTTAAAAAATACGCAGCATTCTAATTATGTTGGTTTGTTGCCAGTAATGGTGTGGTCCCAAACGATCAGTTGCGTTCTTTAGGGGCTTGAGACTTACAAAACACTGACATGGTACATAGATAAGACCTACTACTACCACTCTTCCTCAAATTCCGAATGTTGAGACGCTTTTACAGACGCCTGATGATTTGAGGTATGCACTAAATAGAAGAGAAGTAAAACCAAAGCAGTAGAACGCAATATATAGTAGGGGTTATGGGAATTTGACGGGTTACAGTTCAGGTATGAACAAAAGTACCGTGTTCATAGAAGGTGAAACCATTATGTGGTGGCTCCAGGGTGACCTTAGGAGAATTCACCTACTTACTACTATTAAAAGAGGGTTATAACTTAGCGTGAGGAATTAGAATTACAAGTTAGAATCAGAATTAAGGTTCAGGAATCAGAGTTAGCGTTATTATCATGGACTGACAAGCTGTAATACCAGAATGCTATTTAGCCAAACGGATTATTGGATCCCGCACCAGAGTCAAAGACTTGATATCTAAAACCACACTGATTCGTCCACTAATTATACTTTTGTCATAACATATCAATCCTTAGAAGCTTGTATATCAACTAATGAGTAGCTTAGATACATTTGTCCCTCATACTTTGGATGAAGTCCTATTCCTCACTTAATGTTTGTTCACTTTTTCACTTCCTGTTTCGGTTTGTATATTTTGTTTTCGTTACTAGTCTTCTTGTTATATCGTGTTTAGTAACCTCAAACGATCAGCTCTTCAGTCAGTCAGCTACAACGTATGACCAAGTACATATGTGCATCGGCCCAAGTTGCCACACCTCATTAGCACAACATGATGAACACCGAATTCATAGTAGTCACTTCAATTGTAGTAATGTGTAAAAGAAGTTTGTGTATAAGTACATAATACAGAAAAATTGAATTAGTCCGTAGAAAGATAATAAAACAACTTTAATCTCACAGACCGAAGGAAGACAAAGAGTGTATACACTGACGCCATCGTGATCGATTCTGAGCCATGTCAACCAGTCTCCAATCATTGGTTACGATAGTCACACCGACCCCAACCAAGTAGCCTGCATCTACCAATATAAGCAGCACGTGGCCCAACCAGCTCAGTCGATAAAGATTCACAACCTCATCAACTGATTGACCATCATTCCCTAATACCCTGCGTCTAACCTCACTATTACTTACCCGGTGATCCTAGCAGACGCCAGCAATATTTTCTAAGGCATCTGTGGTCAAATATTAGTAGCTTACGAGTATCTTCTACTCTTAATGGCCCCGTTTCGCAGCCGTAAAGTAGGACAGAACGGACTGCCGCTCAGTATACTCGTCCTTTTATTGATAGACGGTAGCTCACATTCGCCATAGGTGACGTAAGTTGGCAAAAGCCAAACGAGCTTTTCTAATCCGTGCTGAGACTTCGTCAGACACCAACCCATTAGGGCTGGTCAGATTTCCAAGATAAGTGAAGTTGTCAACGCGTTCGACTACTTTAATCCTTATCCTTAGTTCAGGTGTTGACTCAGGCCAGTCCTGAAGCAACAACTTGCATTTAGAAGGGATAAACGCATCCCAGAAATCCTAGCACTGTTGCTCAGTGCTACCCGACCGTTGTTGCTACCTTGGCGTGGTGGTCGGGCTTGTGTATTGTGATGAAGCAACCGAGCTATACTGGCTGGAACAACCGTTCCTCAAGGTCCTACCATGTCAAACAGGTCGGTTGAAGAGCGGTAAGACTAAAAGCAACAAACCCAAGGTCCGAAGGCGAAGTCGTACTGCTGACTGTACAGAGGTGTGACAGCAGTAAGGTGTTTCTTCCAGACAACCAGTATGACAGCGATGCTGCCTTCCCACAAGGAGGGGTGGTGTTAGAAAAGGTCGACCCTAAAAATTCACACCTCGCCTTATCCCACGGATATCCGTCTCCGGCGGTAAGGTCTCGACAAGTACGGAGCTAACACAAAAATTACCCATAAAAAGTTCGTGTGTGACCGACCTTAAGGAGTTGTCCCTTGGGCACTGCGGTCACGCTCTCAGGTCACTAAGACCACCTCTAACCCAGTTTCCTTTTCAGGCACCTCCAGAAGAACCCTTCCACGGTATTGACAACCGGGAAGTGATAACCGCCCTTACATCTCTAGCAGCACTCAAGACCACTGTATTCATAATCAACCTCCCTCTTCAATTCCTATTATTCCTCCTACAGCGACCGTCAACTGTAAATCTCCTCTTTTGGCTTCCTCCCCAAGTGTCACCGTAGCCAACGATTCTAGGGCGCAAAACACTATCCCAGGTCCACTGAAACCTCGCTCCAAACTACACATTGGAGCCTTCAACGTACGCACCCTATGTCAAATCGGTCAACGGGCTTCCCTGGCTAGAACCCTAGAATCTCGTACCATTGATGTATGTTGTGTCACGGAAACACGCATACAGGATCCCAGTGTGGTCACTCACTTGACCTCACCTCAACAAAACGGAGAGCCAACAAAATACACCCTCCGTGTATCTGGTGACCCGACGGCCGGCTCTCTTGGACTGGCAGGAGTAGGCATAGCACTAAGCATGAGGGTGGAACAAGCACTGCTAGAGTGGATCCCCGTTAACAGTCATTTATGTGCTGTTCGGCTAAACGGCTCCGTAAGAACTCGGAAGGATAGGGACACACGTTGTTGCCTTTTTGTCGTTTCTGCCTGCGCTCCTACCGACTGCAGCTCAGATGAAGTGAAAGATGAATTTTACAGAAAGCTATCTGAACTTCTTCAGAGAGCTAAACGTTCAGACATAGTACTCGTAGGGGGTGACTTTAATGCCCAGATAGGTAGTTTAAACCAAACACAAAGGCATTTAGGTGGGTGTTTTAGTATTCCGGCACAGCGAACAGATAATGGTGATCGTCTGTTGCAACTGTGCTCAGACAATCGTTTATTTTTAGCAAAAACTAATTTTGAGCATAAGGAGAGACATCGTCTAACATGGCGACCCCCTACACCAAACCAACGATGGACTCAAATAGACCATATTGCCATCAGTCATCGTTGGAGAGGGTCGATAGAAGATCGTCGCTCAATCTAGAGTACCTGCTTGGACTCCGACCACGCCCTTATACGGGCACGCATCTGCTTGCGCCTCACTGGACGCAAAAAAGCCTCAGTAAAAAGACCCATTAGAACTGAATTGAGTAGCGAGAAAACCAAAAGTAGGGGAGTTGGAAAACCCTGATTATAAACCAATGGTGCACACGGGTTCCAGGATCCCAAGGAAACAAATGGCGTATAAACCTATTGTTGCTCACTGACTACCATGGGACTGCGTCTCCTAAAGTTGCTCCACTGATTTGTGGATCATGCCTTTAGGTCAAAGATTCGGAGTGTGACTTCCCAAGAAAACCACCTGTTTCAGTTTGGTCAACCGGGCAGTATTCCAGCCCTCACACAAATCGAATGATTTATGTGGCGCATATGTATTTGGTACCTTTTTGTACCAATGTTTGTGTTTAAATAAATTAATTCAACTCAAAGAATTTTCTTGGTTGTAGTTTTGCTAACTGGACTGCCTCTCCCATTATTATTATTTCACTCATGCACTAATTTCTATTCGTAACGTTTTTATCATACGTACTTCACATTATCTCATCACAACCTCATTGGTATTGTGTGGCGCATATGTAATCCGTGCTCCCTTGTATCAACGTTTATGTTCAAATAAATAAAATAAAATGTGTCACCCTAGGTCCCCAAACTCTGGTTATAATAATCACTCGGACTCCAAGCAGATAATCTACACCTACCTACTTAGCTCAGTCCAGTTGTCAGCAACTTCATTAACTGGTGCCGCATCTTGGTTTTTCAGTCTACTCTTGCACCAGACAACATCGATCGTCGAGGCATGCAACTTTTAGGCATACCTGAAACATGTAACCACATCAGTCAATGAAAACTTATCACCCCATCAGTCGATCTGTCATCTTTACGTACTACCGTGTGTCTGACTTTAGTATTGCTCACTAGGTGGTCCCAACATACGTAAGTAGTGGTTCAAAGACACCTTTGATTGAATACTAGTGCCCCACGGATATCATCTGTTGTTAGTGACCATACCCATATAGTAGGATAGAGTGAATTGCTGCATGGTAAAGTCGTTCTTTGGTTGGAAAACGGACATATCACATAGACTAAAAGTTACACAAGTTGGCGAAAGTCAAATGAGCTTTCCAAATCCGTGCCGCGAATTTACCAGACACCGACCCTCAAGGTTGATGGGATTTCCGAAATAAGTGAGGTGATAGACATCCTAAATTACCTCACCTCCCTTCATAGGTACAAGCGTTGACCTGGGACTGAACATGTCAAGGAATGAAATAGTATTAACGTCATAATAATCTTGGCTCTCACGCTGGTGTTCGCTACTTCCAAAGTAAAAGCAATAACAGTTTGACTTATTATTAAATTATTTTTCTTTCTTTGTAGATGTTATGGAAAAATGTGGAACTACAACTCAAAATTGGTTTTTAGCAATAGAAAAAGGCGATTTATCTCTGGTTCAAAAACTGTGGAAGGATATAAATGATATTGATGTTACGGATAATTACATTCTAAATAATATAAAGGTATTTTGCATTTATTTTAGTCTATGTGGTAGCATGAAAATGTAACTGGGCTTATTGTTGGTGCCCATTACGGTCATAAAGATATTGTTAGATGGCTTTTAAAAAACAAAGCAAATCCTAACTGGGAAACGAATGTTTGTTATACATTTGTACATTATTCATGATCGTTTTTAGCTTAAGTGGCGCCCAATTCACTTTGCTGCTAAACGTGGCCACTGCGCCACTGTGGATATGCTCTGTTCTAGCGGAGCTGTTGTTGATCCTGTTACAATGGTATGTGATTATTATCTCATATTGTTTCAGAATAATGAAACACCCCTTTCGTTGGCTGTACAATCCCATATGCGGGATACTGTACGCAAACTTGTACACTTGGGAGCAAAAACAAGTAAAAGTAATGAAGTAAGCGGTGTTTTTCATAATTGAATTTTACAAATTTTTTCGTGATGAAATATGTGTATATACATAATACTAAATCCACTATTTCTTTTAGGGTCTTTTCTACCACTACGTATATACTGGGATGCTAGTATCCGACAATAAGGCACCAGGATCACATGATTCCACCGATTCCTTTCGTGACAAGAACTTGCAGCTACAAAATCAGAATGCACGAAGTAACTCATCTATGTTACCTGTTATTTCTACATCATGCCTGGATAGTGACCTTAAAGATCTTTCAGTGGCAATTTTTGATAGTCAGATAATCATGAACCAGCTTCAGTGTCAATCAACAAGTTACGACTTGGAACTCGCTAGACGAAAGAGAGAACTTATCAGACGCTTACCACTTCTACCATGTATGTCATTGCAATCAGCGAATCAGTTTCTTCAACTAACTCAACGTGCTTCCCGAGCAGATTTACCATTAGAGAGCCGTTTGCTCGCTGTTTCTCATTTGTTCAATTTGCTTTCTGTCTCGTCTGTCAACGATGCACACAACGACCTTTCAAACAAAACATCTAATAATGCTTTTAATGAGCCTTACTTACGTCTCATTGAGGCATGTCTATGTGAAACCCATTGTCCTTTGGAATTAACTGTTGAACTAAGTAGACTAGCTGTTCATATGGCGAGCTTGGGAGTAAACAAACAAATCGATGTTAATGGTTCTGTTGCTGGTGATGATTTCACGCCCAAATCTAACACACCATCTGGGCACGTTATTTCTTATATACTAAAGTTATTCAGAAAACTAGTTCTCAAAAGTAATCCACAGTATAGATCAGGGATTCTTGCCCATTTATCACGCATCTTATCAGATTTGTACGCACCATTGGGTGATAGAAAAAGATATAATATCAGTAATTTATGCTCCTGGACTGATTTGATGCCTTTTAGTTCAAGTGTAATTTCGAATCTTATACGCTTAGGAGAGTCTCTGGACCAACCACTGAATGTACCTCGTTTTGCTCAACTTGTTGGTCTCACCGCCCGTTGTCTGATCAGTGTTTATACAAAATCTAGTTCAAGTTCCTTTTCTGCCCGCTTTTCTGATCTTGCAGATATCCTCGTAGGTTGGAGTGTGGATTCGTCCGGCAATTCAAAAGATGTAAACATTAATATTATCTATGAAGAACTGTACTTCGGTCTTTCACACTGGTTTCTCATATCTACGGAAGAAAAAATAGATGAATACAAACAAACGTCATTGCCTCTGATTATTAACGAAAACATTCGGGAAATGATCTCTCATCTGTTGGAGGATAGCGAAAACTCACTTAATACTGCTATTTCGGAATGCTCTATCATGAGTTGCAAACGGGGTACTCCAATATCAGGAAGCGTGAAACTATCTTCTGACCCAAACTCTCACTTTGTTTCGGTCCAACTTTTCCTCAACGTTTTATGTAGTATATTTGGAGGCATCTGTAAACATGCATTCGATTCTACTCGCCTTTGTTTCAATGATGTTATATCCGGAAATGTTTCACAGTGGATTGAACGTTTACTTCACATCATTCAGTCGACAAGTGCTTATTACAATTCATTAATATCACAAAAACAAAGTGGTTCCTGGCATTCAGGTCATGGAAACGTATCTTCACCTCGTGTACCACTCATTGTCTTGGATGGTATTCAGTCTTCAGTTTTTAAGCTTTTGAACTGTTTAATACAGTTTTCTGATTGCTCTAATGTTGATATAATATCAGTAGACAATTGTGTGATATCCAGCGTTGATCCTGGGAGTTTACCCAACACCGATTGCTCCTTATATTCTCTACTCGAATTGGTCTTCACTGTCATCAAAATAAAATGCTCATCTACTTCTACTTCTGTGAATCCCTCATCGTTACTAATTTATTTTGACTCACACTCTAAATTGCACCATTTTAAATTCTGTTCCAAATCTAATGTTGAAAAAGGAAGTTCACCAAGTCAAAAAATTTTCCGTATGTTGTGCTATATGTCATCAACATTGCATCTCCAGAGTGCTGTATGTGAGTTAGCATTTTCTGATCTTCAGCTGGCTATAGGTTCACAGAAACAGTCAGATTCATCTTGTAGTCATAAAGCTGAAATCCTAGGATTATTTAGTTTATCTTTGCTTACTGAAGTTATGAAAAGTATGTCTTGTGAACTTAAAAATAAGTTGCTTTACCGTGTATATGAAATCATTCAACCAAATTGTTTTGAGAACTGGCATTATTTTTCACCTCGTCTTAGAATAGTCCTCTTGTCGTTCATGAACAATTCCTCACTTATTAAAAGGTCTCAACCAGTCTATATTCGCTATATGATTACTGGTTTTCTTTCTGTGAAGAGTATTTCCAGTATCGAATGTTGTGTTCTTTTAAACTTGACCGATTTGTTTTTATCCGAAGGTGTTCTGAATTCTGATGATCAACTGTCTTTAATTTTTAATCTCATAACTCTTTCAAAATGCATGCTAATCACACAAATAGTTCTGGACTCAACTCACAATAATGTTTTCACCTTCATTGTGAATGTCCTCATGAAACACACCCTTCCTCATATTGAAAAGGGGAATGCAATTCTTGCCTCTCATCTTTTACATTTATCTCAAATATCATTATCTTACCCATGCCCACAAGTTCAAAAGGCTGGCAATGATCTCTTACTGTTAGTTGGATCATTTTCTTTCTCTAAAGTGGAATTTCCAGCATCTTGTTTGTATTCGGAATTGCTTTGGTTCACCACTCGCCGACCGGACCAATCAGCCACAGCATTATTACCAGTATCTAATATAAACGATTCCGATGGTAGTCAGAACAATCTAATAACTATGACTACTGCTTTCCCTAGTCTGCCAGCTGTTGCGGGTATTTTGGGTATTTTGACACGGGGAGCTCCATACACGCAAAAAGTAGAGAGCAGTCGACTAAAGATTTTAAAGAGTCCTATTGATTGGATACGACGTTTATCATACTTAGTTTCTCCACTTCCATCGGATAAAAAGTATGATTTTTCGTTGCTACAGTGCACTAGTTTCATTCAACCTGTTCTGTGGCACACTGCATGGGCAATGGTTGATTACAAGTTAAAAGTAGCCCCTTGGGCTAACCCACTGAAAACATTTTTCTCTCTTGAGGGAACTTTAAGAGCGATTATCCAGCCAGTTTATTCCAACGATTCTTCTAACAACAATCAATCCTCAATCATTTCATTCCATATGGCATCTTCAGAGGCTTTCTCTCACCAAAAGAAGAACCGACATTTAAGCCAGATTCAATTACTTTTGAATTTTCTAAATTACCTTGAACGTGTTATTTTCAATGCAACCAACGGTTTTGCGATTGCACTTTCCCATCCATCGACATCTGCTTCTATATTTTTCACCGCAAATGAAAACACTTGTACACAGTGGTTTAATCGTATTAGAACACTTCTTGTTCGTATCTCAAGTGACTTGCCGTTAGTGTCCTGTGGTGGCATGGGACCAGCTAATGAAGTTTTATCGACAACTATTTATCATGCATACAACTTACTCAAAATTATTTCAAATTACAACAACCCAAGTGTTCAAGATATTTGGATCAGCACCTTAAAACAATACGGTGACCCTATAGATTTATTTATTTATCTATCCAATGCACTTCATCACTTAGGCGCATGGGAAGAATTGAAAGCATTAGCACAGTAAGTAACGCAAAATTCAGTCCCTTTCTCGTTTCAATAAACTGTTCTATCCTTTAAGTTACGAATAATACTAATCCTGCATTACTTTTAAGGAAAGATAACTGGGTTTCTGTAGATCCTTGGTTAAGTCAGATAGGCATAAATAACATAGGACCTTGCACAGTCGTGTATCAGTCTACGTTATTGGATTTAAAACTAGTACCGTAAGAAGAAATCAATAGGTGTAAGAACAAAATTTTAGAATCATTCGTACAAAAAATAATAGGGAACTGAAGAAAATGGAAAGCATCAAAACAACCAATTTTATAATTAAAACTGAAGATTTAAGAAAAAATGTAAGCTGACTGATTTGCGTCTGTACGTTTTGTGTCATTCGAGGTTTTAATCACAGATTGAGATGGTGTAGAAGATTTGTAGCTCAGGTGGATGATTTTGATAGTTTTTCTCACAAAAATAAGGTTTACGTTTATCTTACTTATACAAGATTTCAGTGACTTGGTGCACTGATCTTATGTGTTTCATTAACTATTATTATCATCATCCTAAGAGCTGTTACTTTGACCAACATTTGACAATAAGTTAATTTTACAACGTCTTTAATATCATGTTTCGGTTTGGGTACCCGGGCAGCATCACAATCCTCACACAAATCAATGATAACTGCTACTGACTTCATTGTTATTGTTTGGTGCATATATATTTGGTGCCCCCTTGTATCAATGTTTATGTGCTCAAATAAGTAAATTAATATAGACTTCTCACCTAACAGCAGTATTATTTGTTCAGTGTTTTCATAATACGCTGTCAGTGTTTCAACGACAAGATCAAGTACTCAAAACCCGTGATAGCGCTTTCAGACATTCCTTCGTAAGAGGTACTTTTATTTTTGTATTCGATTTGTGTTTATAGTAGGTAATTAGAAATTAAAGATTCTATTTCCATATGGTTTACAAGTATGGCAATTATGGTAAATTTATATTTTTAGGTGGACGGATGATCTTTTCACGGCAGAAAAAAACCCGTTTTCATGGCTTCATGGTATATCTTCTCTAGCTCGTGGTCGTTGGGATCAAGGTATTCTACAATTAACCAGTTTTGTTGATTCGAACTTGCCAAAAAGCAGTGCTTTAAATCCAGAAAACGTAATTACCAATGAAACTGATAAATGCTCCATTCAAACATCTACAGCGTATATCGTAAATGTCCTTCTTCAAATGTACCTTTCTGAAGGTAACTATACTTGTGCGCATAAACTCCGGAACCGTATAACATCGTGTGTCAAAATGAAATCTTTAAAGGAAAGTTCAACATTTCAACTTAATTCAGCACGCCTCGACTGCTTGAGTAAATTATCTGAGTAAGTTTGCCCATTTAATTACTTTCCACCTTAAGCTTTTACTATTGCTAACAATAATAATAATATTTAGCCTTAAGCTAGAAGTTAGTCTTGAAATATTCCTCCATCTAATTTATGATTATTTGACGAAACTAATACCATTCGTCCTATTAAAGTTGTCTTTACTCCCAGCGTTATAAATTTATCACTAATTTATTTTAGATCAGCTTTCTCTTTGATATACGTACTCAACCAACTTCTGATGTTACTTTTTTCAGTCACTCTAGTCATATTATTTTAAGTTTTTACTACTTCGTATTTATACAAACTCTGCTTCCTCTACTCCTTATTTGTTTCCTTATAGATGGGTTTCTGAAAATGTAGTTGAAGATAATCTCATTCCAAGTTCTTCTGAACTATGGTCCCAGAGCTCCATTCAAAAGCAACTAGACAGTCTACTGGTAAATGCTGCTTGCGTAAAACATGATAGTTATGGCAATACAGAGGACAAGTTGTTGGTAAAATGTTTTTTGGAGCTAACGACGATTATAAGACAGAAGTCAGCAAGTGCAAACTTCCTTCTACCTTTGAATATGTTTGCAGATTTTTACTCTCAACCAAATTATGTTCTGGATGATGGTTTGCAAGATTACATGATTAAAGCGCAACTTATACTTAGTGAACGAACATGTACTATGTATGGATCATCAAGTCCCATAAACTACTCTACTTGGGTACACCTCATTTCTTCCAATATGAAAGCCCATTCTGTCGCTGAACTTTCAGCTTGCCAATGGGCATGTTTAAATAATTGTCCATATCTTGCTCGGCGTTTGCTTGTTAAAACAGCGAAATGTCTCACACTTCTTGATACTTCAGTGGATAAAGAAGCAACATATTTCGATAAGCTTTGCAACGTCGCTTTATCTTCCTCGGATGATGTACTATCCAAATTATCTCAATTGGATACTTTAAAGTTCTATAACTGTATGGCCAGAATTCTGTGGTTGTTTGGGAGTGGGAACGACGAACAAGAATTAATTAATAAGACAAAAGCGATAGCAGTGTTAACTTCTGGTCTGAGATTGGGATTAATGAAAAAATACAGTTGTGATACAATTGAAACTTCATCTAAATGTAATTTGGAAGCTGAAATGGCTCTAAGCCTTTTCGATTGGCTAGAATCACCTACAAATACTAACGACATTTCAATGGCAGAAGAAATATATCTTAGTTTTATAAGCTCAGACGAACCAGGAGAAAAGGTATTTTATACAATAAATTGATTATTGATTGTTTTTTATATTCGTCTGCTTTTACAACTAATCATTTTTCGTATATTAGTTTGTAGGATATTATGACAAAAATGACGACAAGGCCACACTATCCTAAAGTAGAATTTGAATTTTTGTCCCGGTAGTAGACTAACATTAGGTTTAACGCCGTATTTCATTGATCCTTGTTACCAGAGCAGTAATTTGCTGGTTAATTCACCCAAACCAACTGACGCAATTCCTTTCTCTTAATGAAGACATGGACAAAAGACTTTTCTCAACATCACGATAATAGAAAAAAGTGTGGAGTACGTTTCTCTTCCTCAAATTGTTGCTTTAAAACTGGCTAACAATAAAGAATGAGATAGCTAACCATGTTGGTCTCTACATTTATGTTGTGGGCTTTATGAGTTCTGACTAGCTTTTACTTAATGAAGTCTCGGTATTGATGCAACTTACTCATTCTGTAATTTGGGTGAGATCTCCGTCTGGCTACCAAAAGACAAGTATTGAAAGCAGAACTATTTTCTGTATTACTTCACATCATTGGAAAATGTTTATTAAAAATAAGGGTTATCTGTTGTTTTCTAGTATTTGATTCTAGATGTATTTTAATCGTTTCCCAATTGTAGTGACATCACAAAGGAAGTAATAATGAGTTTAATCGTACAACACTAAGTAAAAATGGTGAATTGCACCATTAGGCTCTAAACCTGCAGACTGACTAGGAGTAGGTTGGAAGAAAAATAGAAGTAGCCAGACTGAAATATGGCATCATTTCAAAAAGTCATTTGCCATTGAATCTAACCCTGTTGATGTATATATGTGATATAGAGATGCGGGCTCCCTAGTCTGAATCCACCCCATAATTGTAATCTTTATTTGGCGATGTTAGATGATATGGCCCAAAATTGATCACATTACAAGAATCGGATTCGTTCATTATATTCCTCTAAATCTTAAGCTCAGTACCATTCCTTCCTCCCCATTCCCTCTTATTACTTGTTCCTTTTAGACTGTTTCTATTGTGTAGCTCCCCACGGAATTAGATATTTCCTTCATGCTTCTCAATTTGTTAATGCCCCCTTATTCTACGTTGATTTGAATTGTGGCAACTTGTTTGATTTGAACAAATGGAGCAAAGTAATTGGCATGATCTTGGAGACATACAGTTAAGACATCTGCCGAAATGCCGTCTTGTCCCGACCATTTCATTTGGCACTTTTTACATTCAATTTTTAGTTCCATATGGAAAGGGTTTACACTTTTGTATTGCTGATGAGTTTGTTCTCTATTGTATGTTTCAGTTCAGGTTCTTTTCACATTAATACACTGAAAAAAACCAACTAAGGTAGCACTAAAATAATAGAAATACTAATCGTAGTGTAAAGCTAAAAATAAGTTTGAGAGAGATATAATAGGTGTCCACAAATTCAATGTTCGCCATCAATAGAAATTTATCTTTACTGAAATATATATATATATATATATATATATATATATATATATAAATCAAAATATCGTCTATAAAAACGAGTCAACATTTCATCGGACATTCGTTTCAAGCTACTGAACTACGGTTATCGTTTAATCATACCAATCTGTTGTTTGCAAATGATAAGCTGGTGGTACATACTATGCGCTCCAAATCATTCTAGGTAGTTCTCATTCCAATTACTGTTCTGGTTTTTCCTATGTACAGTTTTTATCACTGTCTCGCTCTAATTCTAAACCTGCGATATGAATCCTAAATTATATATCGTTTTATTCAACTTTTAGTCTGAGGAATTTTTACGTATTGCCTCAGACCTTGAATTGTTCAGTTGCTTGTCTGATGTATCCTGGTGTAACGGTATACCAGATATTACTGAACCCCTTCAATCTACCAATTCATTCCTCGGTTCTTCAACTTCATGGACTAATCGTTTACTAATGATGGCCACACATTTATCTTCAAATGGTTCATCTGCATCTGTTTGGCTGAAATTGGCCAACTGGTGCTATTTGCGTGGAATAAAGAGGTAAATGGCATGATGCATTTTTAGAATTTGGGATTTTAACATTATCCAAATGTTGTTTTAAAACTTCGAAAGATCTATTGTTCGCATAAATATTCTATTGTCATAAATGGTATATCACGGAATTTGACCCAACTACTGGTAGAAGAGAAAAAAATGTCTGTTGTAAGGATACTGATGTTTAGAAAAATATTATACCGTTTGTCTTATCGAATGGAATAGTGAAGTGTGAATCAAAGTTGACATTGTTTTAAAAATTTGAATATTTGTTTTCTGCTCAAGTAATTAAGGCTAAAAGATGATTGTTTGTTTGTTGATGAGGACACACGAACGGTACTATGGAGCACTAAAAAATAAGCAATATAGAACATAATATCTTAGAAGAAAAACAAATATAAAATCATGTGACAGCTACAATAAGTATACTTAAGTATACAGTTCAAACAATAAGATAAAAAACATATTAATTCTACTCCTCTGAGAATACAAGATCACCGTTGGTTCCATTTATGATCGACATCGAGCTGTGCCAATAAATACTAACGTACCACTATTATCATTCCTTTTCTATCCCCTCTACCATGAATTACCTATCGTTTCGCTTCTTTCACGTAATTCTAACCTCAGCATATCTTAATTTGTATAGGAGCCGCCTGGATAATATGTGTAAATTATAAGGGTGGCTTTTCAATGTGTAATTAGTGATAGGATGATGGTCCCCTCAGCATTAACTATACGAAGCATTAAATGCTGCTGACAATTAATTGGTTAATTGCTATCGTGATAAGAGTAATCGAACATATTTAGCTTCAAAAGGTCAGGTGTCATAATCATTGCTACTATATTATTTCGACTTATTTGTTATTCATACCGCTGATTTCAAATCATCCTGTCGGTGTTTCATAACAACTTGTACTAGCACATATTCGTTCCAGGCTTGATGTTGAGGCAAACAATGATTATCAATCCATAAAATTTTTCGGAAACATTCGTTCTCCAAGCTATATTCATTTCAAATGCGTTATAATCGCTAATTGAGTTGTGCAGTTTTATGAAGCTAAATCAACTTATTTGTCTTAAGAATATTAACACTTTTTCTTAAAATTCTCTATTGGTAAGTTATTCTGATTCTTTTGTTTTGTTCTTAAGTTTTTGATTCCATTTCCATTTGTAGATCCATGAATTCCAGTCAGCAGCAAGAAATTTTATTACGGTCCTAAATGAGAAATCCTCTAACCATTCAAGTGTTCCTGTCCTTTTAAAATTAGTACAACCACAAGAGTATACATCACTAACTATATTGGTTAAAAAACTGTTTTCTTTAGAAAACTCAACTGATGATAGTAAAGACGTTGATTTCCTTATAACTGCTCTAATCAGTGCTCTGACAACCTTTTTGGCAACTGATCGTTGTGATGAAGATGACTCAGAACTATTCAAACATCATTCTGACTTACCAGTTCATCTCCATCAGTTCTCTTCTCAGTGTCCTGACGATCAAATAGATTCTCAAGTCAGTAGAGTTCATAAATTTGTAGTCAAAATATTTTGCTTTCTTAGTATATATAAGTAAATAAATTGTATTGCTTAAAACTTCACCGCATTAAAAGTTTGGTGAGTCCATTCCTTTGTTTAAATCAGAAATTGATCTTAGCTAGAACACTATTGAAAACTAGGAGGCTCTGAACAACTGTTTCGTTTTGGCGTTGGGACCCTCAGCATTGCACATCCACGAAATCGCCACCGTGTATCAAATCCAAGATTTTTAGTCTCGTACGAACGCCATGCTTCTAGACCATTAGTCCAGTATCCAATGATTTATATCTCTAACTTCAATCACTTTACAGCTCAGTAGTTTAGGGCTTAGGCGTTCACGTAATAAACTGAAGGTCCTCCGTTCTATTCTTCGTGGCGACGTGGTTGCACACTACTGAGCGCTATACTAGAATAAAATATCCATACAATGCTTCCAGGATTTCAATGATGGTCTAGCTAAGATCAGTTGGTGATTTAAATTATGAAAATTCTACAGTCTACGAAACTGTACAGATACATTTCTACTTAATTAAATTATCTGTTTATTCTCTTATTGCTTATAAATATGTCCCATCACTAATGAAATATTTAGATTTGATCCTTTATTGTTTGTTAATGATCCAGCTTCAAACCAAATTGCAATAGTAGTTCAATATAAGAATTTACTTTGAATTATTTTTCCATAAAGCATTAAGCAGTAGTCGTCATCTTATTTCTCATAATAAATTCAAGCACTATCGTTACTACTTGTTTTTCCTTGTACACTACGTTAAATGAATGATGGAAAGCTGCATATTAGAACTCAGTAACTTGTGGTGAAGTAATTTCATATCTAATTGACATGTTTTACCAACCGAAGTATGCACATTTCCATGTAAGATTTTTAATGAATTTTATTTCGTTATATATATATATATAGTTAAGGGCATGAGGGCAGTTATCACTTCCCGGCTGCCGACACATTGTAAGGGTTCTCCTAGAGGTACCTGAAGAGGAAATAGGGTTAGATTTGGTCTTAGTGACCTTAGATCTTGACCACAGTGCCCAAGGGACAGCTGCTTGAGGCCGGTCACACACGACCTTTCTGTGGGTGGTTTTTGTGTTAGCTCCGTGTTTGTTGAGGCCTTACCATCGAAGACGGAAGTTCGTAGGATAAGGCGACGTGTGCGTCTTTAAGGTCAGCCTTTTCTAATCCCACCCTTCCTTTGTGGGAAGGCAGTATCTCTGTCATGCTGGTTGGTTGAAGGAAACATCTTACTGCCACCACACCTCTGTACTGTCAGCAGTACAAATTCGCCCTCAGACCTTGAGTTTTCTGGTTTTAGTCTTACCGCTCTTCGATGGACCTGCCTGGTATGGTAGAACCTTGAGGAACGATTTTTCAGCTAGTGTAACCTGATTGATTTATCATGATTCGCAAACCCGACCACCACTTCAAGGTAGCAGCAATGGTTGGGTTACTGTGACTGCTCCTATATTTAAAAGTGTATTTATTTTTTTAATCAAATGTTACTGTTCAATTCGGTTTATAGATGCAGCAGAAATTTTTTTCGCACTTACGGAATATTATCCCTTCTTTGAAAAATCCAAGTCTATCAAACGATTTAGTACAACTTTTGCATCAATTATTAGTCTCGATTACTGAACGTCAACATACTCTACATATGTCTGCAGCTCAAGCATATGCTACATTTCTCACTATAGCAGACCAATCTAGAGGATCAGGAAATTCTATCTTCTATAAACCAGTTACTAAATTAGACATTACAACAAGTAAGTTTTAAGAAAGCAACCATTTTTATCAAAAATATAAACTTTCTTTGGTAAATCGAGTACAAATAGACATCTGTTCATATCATTATATTATAGATAATAAAACAAAATAACGGGACTATGATAATTAAAAGCATTTTAGTTCAAGAAAAATGGCCAAGTCCTGATATTTCCAAATGATTAATTAGTTCATATCGTGGAACGTTATCAATTCAACATTGTTTCTTATCTATCGTTTTATAATTGTAAAAATGTTTCTTAAATACCGCTCCTATTCTAAAATTTTGTTTTATAGTCTTTTTATGTTGTGACAGCTGGTCAACATATATTTATCGTATGCTCAAACTACTATATTTCAAAACTATCTTTTCTTCGCTCTTCTAATTGTCTTTATTATTTTCCTCTTTCAGCAACTTTGAAATTCTTAGATCTGCTGTGCTCACCATCTCGGAAACTCCGTAGTATGATCTCAGGTTTCCTTGATCAGGCAAGTCCAGTACTATCTGAGTTTAATCATCAGCGTATAAATGTACAATCGGATAAACTACAACATGGAATTGGATCTAAATCTAGTCCAACATTAGGCGGTCCATCGATTTGGGAAGCTTGTTTACCACAAGTTTTAGTTCGATTGGGTTTGCCAGATGATATGATACGCAACTGCTTAGTTGCACTATTGAATCGACTTATTTATGTTGGTACTGACAATAATGTCAACTTCAAATGGAATTCACCATCTTTCCGTCTAGCAACTCAACTTGTGTTTCCAGCTGTTGTAGCTGCTTGTGATCCTGTTAATCCAGACAAAAATGTTACAGACATTCAACGTAAAGGTATTGAAATGTTTAATAAATGAATTTATTTAATATATTGCTGACGTATCAACAGTTACTCCAACTGTTACCATTTTTATATCATTTGTCTGTGAGTACCGATTTAAGTCACTCAGCTTCTCGTGTCTTTTTGTCATAAGTACATATCATCTGAACTTCAATAAAATTTAGAAATGTATCACTGCCTCGTTTAAATTTTATAACTATAATCATTTATAAATTTATACTTAAGTATTGATAGTCCCAATCACTAGCGCCTGATTAACCTCTGTCATACCTGCTTTTAAAAAGGTTGTGTTATGTTTTACTCAGTTCACTGGGTTTAAACCTACTACCAGTTGTTTACTGAGTGATATCATTTGCCGTAAACCACCAAAATGTAAATCGCGGGAAATACATTAAATTTCTCGTAGTTTTCAGGCTAGTTACTTCTCTCATTATTATTAGCTGTTGGAACATCTAAAGTCTATCATGTTTATCGTTTGCTTTTGACTTGTATTGGGACTCAGTAGTAAGACACTGTTGCAGAACACGGCGCTTCAAACTTGCCTTAAGTGGATTACAGACACAAAATAACAGAAATTTAAGTATAACCATCCCCCTTTTAATTTCGTTACCGACAACTCCGTGTATGCATAAGAATATATCTGTTAACCCAGAAGTAGACTTCAATGATATCATCTCACTGTTTGATGACTACTTGGATTCCATTTGGCGATTTGATGTTTGGTGAGTAAAACATTCATTTCGTACCTTCGTGGTGTAATTTGCTCAATTCTGATGGCTCACCGATAAAGATAATCAGAGTTGACGTAGCTGGAAGGCTCTTGTGTGCTACTGGCGGTAGTATGATAGGTATCAGTATATGTATAGCAAAAAGTTGAATGTGTAACAATTTGTCTCCTACAGTTTTGCTCTGTTGTAATACTCTTTTCTGATTGATAATGCATTAAAAAAGTTTTTCACTCTGTGGAGTAATACTATGTAACTCAAGGGTCCGACATGTTAATGTATAGTACAGACTAACAATATGCACTTCAATAAATTGAAAAACTTATCACATGATATACTAAATATACAAAAACGTTGTTCAAAGTTGGTATTGCATAACAACTTTGTCAAAATTTGACTACAGCGTAAATGGAAATTAATGCCAGTTCTATGTAATTCAAATAATGTTAACATATCACAAACACCTGTAGTTTTTTGTTTATGTTTTGTGCGGTACTTTTGGAACCATAAATCACTTGTGACAGAAACGTAGTTGTCTTTCTGCATATATATGCAGTATTGTTCTAATATATCGTTTGATATCCCAATGAATATCATGTTGAGTTTTTTGAATATTTCTGGTTATTTGAAAAGTAATTTTATTTCCATCAACACTGCCTTTTATTTCAGAGAATCCTGCTGACACAGCAGATAATCTTGATCTCACGATTTCTACGAACGCAACAATTTTGGAATCAGACTCAAAGCTAAATCCGTCTCACTCGTTTTCAAAAATCGTTATTGCTTTGAGAAATACAGGTTTTAGCGATCTCGTTCATGAAGTGGAAATTTTCACTTATGAACTACAACGTATCACTGTTTTATGGGAAGAATTATGGCTTGGTTCGTTGGTACAACATCTAGATGAATTATCCAAAAAGGTAATAACTGAAATATAAACATTGTTAATAGTTCGCATTCACTAAAATATAAATTATGTAGTCAATGTGGTCCATTCCATTTATATTATCTAATAGCTTTGAGTTTTCCATTCTCTTTATTAAGATTTACTTGTAAATAACTATTTTCTACTCTTTAACTGCTTATAAACAGACAATAACAATGCCATTTTATTCTACAAGCAACTTAGTTTTGTCTTCATACATAATATTCAAGTAATTTCTCTCATTTAGGTATATCCCAACATCTTTCTGCTTACTATATCGAATTTACTATTTTCTAAGTTAGGGTATATAGGAAATTAAATAACTACATTAGTTTGTTGTGAGCTGACTAGGTATTATTGAAGATTTTTTTCTAGTTTTAATAAACATAACTGAGTTTACTTAATATTTAGTCTTAAGATTTGATGTTTCTTGTACGTTGATTCCTATATTTACTCAACTCTTTATAGATAAATCTCTTAGAATCAGAACTAAAACGGACTGAAAAAATAGATGTATCCCAAACTGTTGAGACCTCTAAGGCTTTATCAAAGCGCATTTTAAGTAAACACTCAATAATTGAAAAAGAAAACAACTCTTTATTGTCGCATGACGTAATTACAAATGATACGGATTTCACATCAGTGGAAACTATTGAGGATGATTTATTGGGATCCAAAAACTTGACAGAGTCAATTGATTTAGCAAAATACCTTGCTGCACTACAACCAACTCTTGATTTATTATCACAGCTATACTCTTTAACTATCCTTGTTAAACCTGAAACTCCACATGAAGAATGGTTTCAAAGGACATTCGGGCAGGTAAGTTCTGTGTTTTTTGTTTTTATGACGAATATTATTAGTAAATGTTGAAAAACGTAACTGTTACAATTAAAATTTCGAACCTTTCACTCGGTAGCTTACTAAAACCAAGTGTATTACTATCCGCATTCCCAAAATGTATACCGATTATGGCGAGACTCCAACTTAGGGACGAAGCTTGAACGAATCTTAAATGACCTTGACAATTATTAGCCAATCAGAAGACAGTGTAAAGTTAAAATATATTATAAGAAAGTAATGAATTACAGTGGATAGTCTTCTTTTACATGATTTAAAAACTTGTTAAGGTTTGATAAAGGTTCAGAAGTCCTGAAATCATAATGCATACGGTATAGGAACTCGTCCATATGGCTCCATAACAGTCGTCCTCTAGAGCCGTGGTATGGTCTTAAAAATTCCTTCAGTCTGGACCACATAGCTTCAATATTATTAGTATGGACGCCGGTTGTTGGGTCGACGAAATGGCGCTTGTGCACTACTACATGATGCACATATCCAAGTCTATGTACGCACCTATAAGCTCGCCAATCATCCGTATATATTGTTGTGCCCGGCTGCACGTATTCCTGTATAATTGGTATCATAGTGACTCACGTGCAATTGAGTTTATTCTCATTCAACTCAGTTAAGCCCTTTTGCTAACTCATTTAGCGGACAAAGTCATCCGCACTATAACAACTTATTGTACCCTTATTATTTTGTGCTTGTATGAAATATGTATGCTTGAATATTGATTACGGCCTACGCATCTATTCACTCTGCTAGTCTTACTACTAACTGCTTATTTGATTCGATTACTCATTCATTTCACATGGTATATATATGTCCATGTTATTCATATTCAACACACACGCACTCTCGTCTCACTCTTGCTCTGGCTCTCGCTCGCTTGCTCGCCTTTCGGCACAACTCTTTTATGCTTGTTTAACGCATCTGTACATTTGGATATATGTGTGTGGTCTCGCAATAAACATAATCAACACTCCGTATTTGCCTTCTGATTAATATACCGTTGGGACGTTATATAGGACGGTTATCAAGACGAGCTGTATACGAAGTTTAAGGATTATATCGAATACCGACCACCACAGTATTATTTTGTTTGCTTGCAGGTTTCTGACCCTCCGAGAATGTCCCTTTTGCGTTGATCGGTCATAAATTCCAAGTACCTGTCAAGTATATTTACGGAAATGCTATTTACCCATTCTTCCTTGATACTACGTCCCCTATTGTATTTTTGCTTTCTTACTACCGTTTCATCTATCTCCACAATGCATCCTACTCCTCCGAATGATTGGCGTAGACGTGTCATTTTACTTGCACATATGTCACGGCAGTACTCATACCACCGGACTGCTGAAGTTTCAGTAACATCTGCGAACGCCACAGCCAGTGTTACTGGTGTCTTTATTACCCAATTTGCCACTATTATCATGATCTGCTTTAATGTCAGTCGCGATCGAGCGAAGAAAGTCCCCGTTCGAGCAGACTTTTTCCTCCAACATGATGAACAACGAAACATAATCTCACCACGGTGGTCTGTACACTTTTCTGTAGTCATTTGATAACCGCAGTCGCACGTACAAGAACTTCCTAATAGTCCCATCTGTTGTAGCCTCTCAATAATCACCTCTTCTCTAAAATCCGCTGTAAACCGATCGTATGTTAGCATCACGTGTTGAACTGGACTCCGTGACCTTGAGGTTGCTCAAACGCTTCTGATTGGCTCGTCCTTAAATTAGAGTCTCGCCCCGATTATTATGAAGTATGCTTAATGGAAGAGAGATTAGTTTTATTACTATACGGCGTAGGAAATTACGCTCTTATGTCTTAATCTGTGGCTTTTGGGTTCAAATGTTGACATGAAGCTCAACGTTTTGATTCATTTACATAACCGATAGAGGCTTTTGAAATCCTTACTAATGACTCAGTTGTGGGATTAGTAAGGTTCAAGGAATGTTATACATAATGATATTTTATTGTCGTTTGTAGTTATTTTATGGAAGTTTTAGCTGAACTAACGGACAGCAATTTCGCTACTGCCTTTTAATATATTCCTCTATTTTTGAGAAACAGAAATCCATGTTATGATCACACACTCTTTCCTAGTTCTCTAGTTTCTAGTGCATGAGCACTGTTTGAAAGATAATCATCTATTTGATAGTGTTTATATATCTATTCTGTAATTTTTTGGGATGTAACTTAGATCAGTAAATTTCGCGTTGGCATATGTACATCGTTCTTAGTTGTTCGATGCAGTAGATAACTAGATCCTCCTTTCACTCTTAAAAGTAGTAATATGAATTCTGAGGACTAGTTATCGAATTTTTTGATTCCTCGGGTGTGATTCATGTTACTGAATCTAAGGAATTATGTTATACTAGATTCATTTATTTATCTTTAGTATTACCATTACATGTTCTTAGTTGCCTATAATTTTAACTGAATAATATTTTAGGTTATTGATGAACTTCAAGAATCGCTATTGCATCCTATGGATCTTAGAGATGTGAAAGAACCTGTTTCCCTTATCCGTCAACTTATTCATCAGTTACAAACAACCCACCAATCAACATCTTTTTCTCAAGTTCCTGCTGTTTCTCGAGTGGGAGCTGCTCCTGATATTGATGCTCGACAGTCTATAAATAATGTATCCTACCTAAATCTACGGCAACTCAGTCCTCGGCTTTGTTCAATACAGTTTGAAAATGATCATTCAGTTAGTTCTACAGGATCTTTCACCTGTGGAATCCCCTTACCGGGACATCTCGGCATAGGAGCCTCTTACTTAGGTAGCCGTATCACTGTCCTGCCAACAAAAACTCGACCGAAGCGTCTTTTACTCAGAGCACAAAATGGTCGTTCTTATCCTTACCTTTTAAAAGGTTTAGAAGATTTACGTCTTGATGACCGTATTATGCATTTGTTCGAGCTTACAAATATCGCTGCAGTTGAACTGTCGTCGAATAACTTTAGATATTTCGAAAATACTTTTGCCCGAACATATTCTGTTACTCCTCTAGGAGTTCGGTCTGGTCTTCTGCAAATGGTACAGGGTGCTGTCCCTCTTTTCAGTCTGTATAAAAAGTGGCAACTCAGAAATTATAAACTCTCTTCTAGTAATGGCTATGTATCGTCTACATCTGTAATTCCAAGACCTGGAGAACTGTTCCATGCTCGCCTTAAAGAGTTTCTACATGCTGCTGGTCACCATTATCAGTCTCAGTCTCGTTCTAATTGGCCTCTGGAGATACTACGCGAAGTATTAATATCTTTGGAAGCGGAAACACCTTCAGACTTATTAACTCGTGAGTTGTGGGCTTCAAATCCCTCATGCGCTAGTTGGTGGAGGGTTACACGTACATTTGCTAAGTCAGCTGGTTTGCTCAGCAGCTTGGGATATTTAGTTGGTCTTGGCGATCGACATCTTGATAACCTCCTCATAGACCTATCGACCGGGCACATTGTTCACATAGATTATAATGTTTGTTTTGATAAAGGGAAAAGCCTGAGAGTTGCAGAAAGAGTTCCGTTCCGATTAACAAGGATATTAAGGCACGCACTTGGACCTGCGTGTCAAGATACATTAGTACGTGGGACATTCCGGTTTACTGCAGAAAGTGGGTTACAAGCAGCACGTCATATAGTTGACCCTATTTTAATACAACTCAAAGCTTTTTTAATCGATCCTTTAGTGGATTGGCAACAAAAAAAGCATCCAACATCCAGTTCTCAAATTGTGACTGACTTCATTCATTTAGCTGCTTTTCACGGCGGTGGTAGCACAAATTCTTGTAATTATCAAACAGTATCAACATATCGACGTTTGCGCCGTGTTGATTCAGAACTTCGAATGTATTCAGGTCTTTTAACAGTAAGACTTGTTGAGTTAGTTCAAAGTACTTGCTTGGACTCATTATTTTCGTCTTTGGACGTAGTTGTTTCACGTTTAAATGTTTGGACAGAATTAAAGAAAGCTCGTCAGCATGCCTCGTTTATAAAAACTCGTTATTTGACTTTAATAGCTGCTACTCACGATGATCTGTCGTCTTCCGAGTACCGTTGTCAACAAGTAGAAAAAGCTAAGCAAAGAATAGAAGATCTACATGGAGAATTTTCAAAACAGAATAAAATATGGATAGACGAGATCCTATCGCACTTCCAAAATTATAGATCACTTGTTGATTCCACCTGGTTATCATCCTTAATTGCGTCTAATGAGGATGTAAATTCAGCTCTGTGTGTCACCTTATCTAACTACTACACAATTGCTAGAATCTATATAACAAGCTCAGAATTTATTGATTCATTGGCTCATTGGATTGATCAACTAAAATATTTTCATTCACAAATGGATTTGTCAATGAAATCGAACAATATTGGTTCACTGATGAATTTAATTTCATCTGATATTCCGCTATATACTTCCAATTTCGATTTAAAACTGTCTAATGTACTGGAGCTAGCAGCCGAGAAAAGTTTCAATCATTTATGTGAATTACGTCGAATTAAAGAAGAAAACGTGAATTCGCTTTCGGATTACGCAAATACCGAAAGCGCCATCCTTCATGAAATCAATAATTTGAATTTGTTTGTATTTGACCAAGGAGCCGCTGGTGTAACCGCTTATTGCTGGGCCTTATTTGATTATGTTTTAAGCGTTTCTATCAACTCTCTCGCTATTGAGATTGATTTTAAAGAGTGGAATTTGAATAATGGTAACTGTCAAACTGATACAACTCATATTAAGAGTCTTCCCCTGGATCAGCTTGGGACATGTACAGACTGCTTAGTAAACTTGTTTAGTGTTCTTCGTCACCAGTCTACAGGTGTTTGGAATCTTAATGCTGGCTACGAGGCAGATGTTAGAAGAGAACTAGCATTCCTCATAGCTGTGAAGGATTCTGTTCGTTGTATTAGTCAGCTGCGCTCTAATTTAATAAGACTTCTGGTCCCCGAAGCTATAGAATCCCTTATAACAGCTAATGTATCTATGGTTGAGAATTTTTCCAGATTTGTAGTACATCACATGGCCAAACCAAATACCACCAATCTTAGACAGCTTGTAGATAATTTCCTCCTAAAGGATTTCATCATAGAAAACCAGGGAGATGCACAACTCCATCACGTTCTTGTTGCTGTTCACCTTGCTCTCACCAATACAACATCTCAGTTAGAGGAGATTGCTATACGAATTAGCTCATGCACCATAACAGCTTTAGCGTGGTACTATGTCGATATCATTTCTCAAGTCACTACTGTACTAATGTCGAAAAGTTCGAATTGCTCCGAAGGTGCGGCTTCATTATGGAGATGGGAGCCTAATTTATCGAGTAGTATTTCGGATAATATTGCATCTTGTACATGGACTGATGAAGTTTACAATGCTGGAATTATGGCTTTTATTTCTGTACTGGAGGATGGGTTGACTCACTGGCAGATAATTCACCATGGTTACACCGATAAGATTTTAGATTTAACCCCTAAATTATTTATTGATCCCATAGATAACTTTATTGGTCGTTTGTCCTCACGTCTTTCACTAGCAAGCTTAGTTGGATTAGCATCGAGTCGTCTATTTTGTGTACTTGTTGAAAATACCGGATTATCAATTCATAGACTTTTGGTTGAAGGTGAACTCTCCGCTAAAGCATCAGGATCGGTTAGTGTTGTAAGTCTATCTGCTGAGAAAATTGTCGAAAGTGTAAATGTTCAAATCTCAATGACACAGCCTGTTAGTGTGCAGCATCTTAGGACACCTGCATGTAATCTTATTCATCGACTAGTTACCCGTTCAAGTCAACTAAGTCAATGTTCGGAAGAGACATTTGAAATTGAGGCTGCTGAACAGCATTATAAACATCTTATTCTAAGCCTGTCTGCCTATAACTGGATGCATACAATTGAGATCGACAAAACGTCACAACTTTTCAAACAAGATCCATGTATTTGCTTAACAAATGCCCTCAATTCAATCAAAGATGCTGCTGAATTAGGATCTGCTTCTGGCGAAAATATGTCGGAGATTTCAGCAAACGCTATTGCCCGGTCAATCTATTACGTTGAAACCTTAAGATCAAGGTATGTCTTTTTTCGCATAATTCTAATTCTAATAAAATTCGTGTCCAATCGAACCACGTTTTTCCACAATGATAATATTAAGTACATTTGGATATTTCCTGTGCAACTTTTTCTTTAACCTGAGGCAATACGTATGTATAATCTTACGCCTTCACACTATGGTCAATAGCTGTTAGTTTACTTATTTGTTTCCTTGCAGCTTTATATATAAAAGTATTTGTCCTAAACCTTTGTGTAGACAGAATGCGCCATACTAAGTCTTTATCTTTCGTTTGTTTGCTTCTATATATACCTCCATCTCTCTTAAGGTTATTATTTCCCTATAGTGGCTTTGCAGTTCATTTATTAGATTGGAAGGTTTATACTTCAATCATCAAATAAGTGATTACTCGTTCTCTTAAGCATCGGAATTATCTAAGTAAAAGGAAATTAAAGTAACTAACGAAATATTTAGCCGTTTAAACTGAATTCCACTTTCTTAGATCACGTTCAATATTCTTTGTTATCGAAACTGCTGTTATCGTAAAATATTCCATCAACATTTCACAACTTCCTAGTTTGTCAATGCTTATAATGATCGAAAAGTTGGTTGATTACCGTACAATTGGTTCCATTATTTGTGTATCTGTCAGTAAATCGGTACCATAAAAATGTATACTTAAACTGTAATTTTTGTATTGATAAGCCTAGATTTAATTTGCATTCATTATTGATGAAAATATATATCTATGTGCTGTTCTTTTCTATTCAGCGGTCTATCGTCCTCTTCATCGTTCTCACGGTGTGTAAATATAATCAATGAACTGGAAAAGGCAATAAAACATAAAGAAAAACTAATATCAGAGTTCACTGAGTTGGATCGGATAATTTATTCAGTAAAGGTATGAGTCGAACTTTCTAAGTTCAGTATATATATATATATATATATATATATATATATATATATATATATATATATATGCGAATCATTGAATAACTGATTTTATAAACACAATCAAGTGTTGAAGATTTCAGACTTAACAATATTGATTATCTGCATTCATTTACTAATTTACCACATGAATAATAGTAATAATAACAAATTCACTGAAGTGACCATAACAATCTACAATACCTTTCGACGAATTTCCTCCTTATAGCATAATTTATAATTACTAGACAGTTATACTGACTCAATTTCATTCATCATGCCTTATGAATCTTGATTTGTTACAGTTTCTCAGAATTCACGATTTAGTAATGTCTAGTAAAGTGTATTCTTTTAACTATATCTCGTGAGTAATAATTTTAAGTAGCACGAAACCTAGGTCCAAGGTTTCCTGTTGACTACCTCCAACCACCATCATATCTCAACATAGTGCACGCAATGTCGAGTCACCTAGACTGGTGGCCACATTATGTCTTGGTCTATAGGATTCGATGTGCACTAAGAAGGACTTGACATACAGGACATTGATCACTACCCAGTGATCAATCAATTGAAAGTAGTTTTCTATTTATAAATAACCGTTGTAATAACTTTCATTTAAATCAAATTCAAACTCATTTAATTAAGTGATTCTGTTAGGATAGAGATTAAATAAGATTAATGGAAAGAGTAATAAGTATTGGTAAAGCTAATAAACATGTTCTTATGTTAAATAATGTGAATAACTATAGGTTGAATGTTTGAATATTCTAAACTAAAAAATGAATCATTCGAAAATGAAATGTTACTATCATTGTTATTTAATCCTTAAAATAAAATGAAATCGACTGACTGAGTAAAGATAAGATAAGAAGTGAGAATTTTTAATTAGCATCATTGACGGGAAAAAATTATGTAACAAATATTTATGGATGAAGTCACTGTGGCAAGGCAGAGTTCATAACTGAGTCTTCGAATTCATAAATTTCGTTTCAGCCTCTTTGTAGTAATCGCTTCAGCAAAACACTATTAAATTGAATGTTCTTTGTTGATTGATTATCTTGAAAGACTGAAACTTCAACATCATAACCACTATCAAGCAAATGGCGCGCAACCGCACCATCCTTTTACTTTAAACTTCTGTGAAATGTGTTTAACGGTGCGAGCAACAACCTTTCTTTAGTTGGTAGGTCTGTTAGTAATAGCCTAAGTAAACTGAAAACTTTGTGTGAAAAACAAAATCGATAAAGTTCGTTTCAGTTATAAGGATTACTCGTAATGGTTTACATAATTTCCAATTACTTCCAGTGTAATTAGTCAAGGTACTGCATTTACCTTCTCCATTTTCGTGTGCATCGGTAATGATTCAAAATAATTCTAACTGTTCAGATTGGAGAATCAGTTCAAACTTAAAATTGTTTGTTTTTCATTAGGTTTACTCACAACGAAAACAATTCTTCTCTGCATACAGTATCCTTGTGAAAAGATTAATTACGGAGTATTATTGTTATTAGTATTATTATTAACCACACAATAAATTCCGATTTTTATTTCTAGGACACTTACGGTATGAAGTGGCCGATTCACGATTGGTTTCAATCATCATCTGATAGACATTCAGATGAACTTGTCAAAAGCAACTTACTTGAACTTGTTAAAAGCGATCTTACTTCTGCGGAGTTAGCAGTCAACAAACTTCATCAACGCCTTTTATTTATAAAGGAAGAGTTCAATGAGATGGACTTAAAATCGGAGCCGTTAAACGATGTTAACTTTAATCGATCATCATCACCGGTAGTAATTCCAAAAGAGTTAATCGCAACCCACAATCTTGTCGCTTAACAACACCTACTTTACAGCCCACTGTTTCATTATCCTTATGTTCTTCTGAGGCATCTACTAACGCTAAGCAACCTACAATGATAGCATCACTACGATTTCAGCTCAGTACATTACAAAAAGAAAAATTGTCTGATATTCGACAGATCGTAAAAATTCTCAGCCGTTATGATTCTGTTCGACTCAATTTACTACGTTCCGATCAGATGTCGCTCAGTGAAACATGTACTACATCTATCTGGAGCGCTTGGTTAGACGGACATCAAAATTGGACTACTATCGTTTTAAGTGTTCTAAAAAGATTAACCAAATTTATTAGTTCGTTCTCACCTTCAGTCAGAAGATCTACTTCTTCGGAACCATGTGAACCTTGTGAAACAATAGATGAAACTGAATTTGCAACTTCTCTCAATAAAGATTGTTTACTTGTTAAATGTAAGCTTGTGGAAGAACTGATCAAACCTCTGTTAAATGGAATTTATGAAAATGTTTCCTCTAATCCACATCTATATCATTCTCTAGAAGGTTTCCTGGATATGCTCAATGAACACTACAGAAATATCAAAGAGATTATGTTTATTCAAATGAAGGAGTCGGAGGTAGAAATCATTGAACCTAAACCAACACCGAAGGTTGAAAAGGTAATTAATCCAGTTTGGACTTTTATACTTCGTTTCTTGTGAACTATATGTCTTGGCTTTGTCTTTTCTATATCTATATCATGATTATTTCCTTTCGTCTCTAGGTTATACTTTCAGGAAGATCTCTAAACATGGCGGCTTTGTCTGTTTGGAATCGTATCTACAATCGTTTGCATGGATTTGATTCGTTTTTACCTACTGCTAACACGGATCAGTCAATGTCCATCAGTGCTCAAATAGATGCTTGCATTCACGAAGCCACTAATGTTGATAATCTTGCTCTCATGTATGAAGGATGGACGGCATGGGTATGAATTTCTCCAAGTGATTCACTAATATGCTGCAATTTACACTACAAAGTTACTTTTTAATTGCTCGATCTCGAGGATCTCGTGGTAAATGGATTGATCAATTAGTACCTCTAGGTAGCTTGAGGAAATCATACCCATAATATCCATCATTTACACGCGAGAAAAACAATCAACATGCCTATTTCTTTTGATGAATAGTTGGTAAGTCTACCTTTATCAAATGTATGTTAGACAATTTAATATACTATATATATTCTGTTGGTGGGTTTGTTTGTTTTGACGTCTCGGAATTAGCAACACTGAAGATGGTCATTGTTTATATGATATCCTCTCATTGTAATATAACTTCCAGGTAGTTCATAATATAATTGACCAGTTCAACCTAATTTATTGAACTGGCTTCCTTATACATTTTTAAGATTATCGATGTAATAATTATATATAACCAAGCTGTATAATCCAGGCCACACTGTCTGTTGCCTTGCGATGATATTCATTCCTACATTAACTGTCTATAAAAAGCATAGGTCAGTGTGATTTGTACTTTCTGTCCATATTCATAAAGTCTGTGGATATTTACTTTTCTTGCCAGTGATAACATTAAATTAATCTGTCCTTAGTGGTGATATAGTAAAAGTTTTTACTGACATTTGTTGAAATAGATACATTTTCTCAACGTATTTTGTTTTGTAAGGTAACGGTTAATTTACGGAAATGACATGAAACCTTAATATTGCACATACACATTGGGTCGAATCTAGTTTAATGCTCCTAGAGGAAAATTTCAAGATATCTTTCACCCTTCCTCAGCTCAGAAACATTTAGCATCACATATACCTGATAACTTACTCTCTTGCCAGTTTGCTCTATGGTGTCATGTTTGACCCACCGGTCACCATGAGAGTAACGTGATCCTAATGGAGTTCAGTTTATGGTGGCATACTTATCTAGCGAGGTCTTATTTAACGTATTTGTACATAAAACAGGTAAATAGATCTTTTTGACATATTTAATTTACTGCATTAATCACTTGGATTTTCCGTTTGCTTTTAGCTCCGACTGACGGACTAATTAATGGTTGTAATTGTGGACTATCATTGCCAACCACTTTATCAGTACACACTACTTAAGGTCAACGTGCTTACTGTTTCAGCTAAACTCTCTTGTTCAACATCCGTAAAAACTTACGAAATTATGTTCTTATGATTTCAGCTATACAACCATAAATGTTATGTTTTCTGTTGACTAAATCACAAATTGTAATTCGTTTTGTATACGCAGTTTCATTGTCATCATCACTTATTACGTACCTACTGTCTTTTTGTGTATTTTCTATTCACCATTGTCATTATTTACTCGTGTTCATTGTTATATTTTTATTTTTTCTTACTTCATAAACAGTATTGTGTCAAAGCCTTACCTGATTTGTTTTCGCTTATTTCGAATCCAAAAAATGAAGGTTAATGGGGCATGGCTTTACAGTTCAAATGAATGTTAATATTGCCTATCCATTTTATAGTGGACCTGAATGTCGAAATATCTAATTATGAAATTAATTTAGCGTTCGAAAGGCAACCGCTATCTTATTGACGGAGACAACTGAAAAAGCTGTAAAACTACATGACTTCAACTAGTTTTATTACTACTGGGATATAAGGATTCCACGTTGACTGAATAATTCAGTTGTCGATACTCTAGAGCTACTAACTTAACGATCCCGGGATTTGTTACTAAAACATTATATAAGAATAATCGCTAGTTACCGAGTCAGCTTGATAAAATACTATTTCATACTTACCATATATTTTAATTACGCTTTGGAGGATTACAGTTTGATTATATTTGAAATCTATAAAAGTTAGTGAACGTGTTCTCCACTACATGAAATACATTACATTCAGCGAAAAGATAGTTAAACTATTCCAATGTGTCCCAGCCCGGTTAAATAGAGGGAGAAGTCGAGGTTCAGATTAGGGAAAGTATATTGCGTAAGCAGCCAGAAGCACACAACTCAAGCGTATATATGCTGCACAAAATGGCATATTAAAAGTGGCAACCAACCAATGACACTTAGGGTCCTTTCAAACGGGAAATACAATAAGGATGGGTGCGGGAATGAGAAATTCAAATTACAGAAATATGACGTTTACCAAGTAATTTCTGGGGATCTAGCATTCCCAGCAGTATCGCTTACTCTATTCGCCACATGTCTGTAACTTATTTTTGTCTGACTGTGAATATTGAGTCACACTTGATTAAATCGTATTGACTCATTTGCCACTATTGCACGTTACTTCGCTTCGCTCTCTCTTCCCTGATTGTCTGTCCAGATCAACGATTGTGTGAAATACACGTATTCGAAATTCATTTTCGTATTTGACTGATTTAATTCTGTTATTTACTAATGAGAGATATGCCGACGATTATATATGAGGGTAACCAAGATGTATATTTCGATAATACGATCCAATCGGAGTCAGATTTCGGGCGATAGAAAGTTCATATTAACTGAAATTGAGCACACTTGATTCGATTGTGCTTAATTAGCTTCTTCTGTATGTCTTTTAACATGTTTCACACCAACATTTGTTGTTTGAGAAAGAAATGATACTGTGTCTTTTGTAGTTGTTAAAAAGGCATCAATAGTGTTATTATGATTTGTGAAGTCTCAGTTGCCCAATCCCGATATTCTCGAAAGTATAGGTAATATCACTGATGAAATGATTGGCGCCATATTTTAAGAGTGAATGAAAACTGTCACCAATAAATCTCTAAGAGCCAATATTTCGTAATATGCTTTTTCAAGTTTTACACCCAACAGTTTATAGATTTTGTTGAATATTAATACACAAAAGTTTTTGTTTTTGTTCAAAAGAACAAGACATTAGGTTGATATATTTGATAGAAGAAATAAAAAAATAGCCTATAGATAAACATTTCTATGGAAGCAACAATAAGCTTGCTGACAAGGGGATCTGTTCAGGAACAATTACATAAGGCTTCGGTTGGGACCGTTGACTGGTGTTGATAGATGGAATCGGTAGCGAAATATTAGTCGGAAGAAATCGTCTCGAGACCTAAAAGTTCGGAGTTTTATACAGCTCAGGGCTCTAGATAATCACCCTTAAAGTATTTCACTCTAGGATGAGAATTCGCTTAATTCCTCTTGACTCACTCAAGTCAATTCACAACAACTCGAAACACTCCAATTAGATAATCTCGATTTTATTATATCCTTATAACAAACAGAACTACAACTTAGATGTTTACTTAGTTCCTACAATCGATAAATCCATATTGTTGTTTTAAGAATAAAAATGTCCAATTTTTTTAATAATAAAAGCACATGTAATTCTTAGCATTTTAAAGAAAAATAAATCATTATAAAAGTGCTTATCAGGAATAAAAATGTTCACGTTGTGGGAATTCTTCAATTCGATTGGGAAAAAGAAAGTAAGTCAATTTAATGTAATTGGTGGAAAAATGATAATTTCATATATATATATATATATATATATATATATATATATATATATATATATATATGAATTTAACCATCATGTATTATTTAATAAGTCAAATAACGGGCAAAGACGATGTGATAGTTGTGTTTTTCTGTATTCCTTCCAAAAAATCGCAATCTAGTAATGATAAGGAAATGAATTACCAAATAATGTATATTCCTCAAAAAAGAACTCATCAGTTTTTTACTCGTTCTTCTGAATCTTGAAATTCTTCTGGTATTTCTAATTCGATGTTATATGGTACTGAAACAACAACCGCAATGAGAATAGTAGTAATATATATGAAGAAAAATAAACGATCTAAAACAATTGCTAAAGTACGCCATTCCATAGCTATTAAACTTTTATGAGTTGTTTCTTTCTGTCGATTAACTACTATTTTAACATATTTTTTCAGTTCTCTAACATCACGTTCAAGTGTAGTGGTCGAATTAAAACTTTCTGATTCATCATAGTTTATCATTCTGAATGGATAATTATTCATATTATTATCATTATGCATAATTTGCTGTAAAATTTCCGGTATTCGATGATTAAGTTTGATTGACGTTTTCATCATATGTGGACAGGATTTCCCAGAATATTCTTTAAGTGTTTGAAATTCATTTGAACCAGACCAGTTAGTGGTGACATTTTCCAAATATTGATCTCCACAAGCAGGTTGATTGACTGATTCACTACATTGCGGGAAAAATCCACCCCCAAAATATCTGTTTTGTTCATTTTTACATCTGTTTTGATAAGCCTGTTTGGTTTTAGCAGGAGATATTTGGGAGATAAGAGTCTTTCTGTGATGTTTTGCAAAAACATTCCTTTTTGAATTCTTTACATCTGGCAGTGGGATTCTTTGTCTTACTAATGTTAGTCTCCCAATCCCTTCTATTATAATCTAAAAATGATAAGTAATGGATAAGTAGTTCAAATAAAGCTTTATGCAAATTCATGAAGGGAACTAGTTGCATGAAATTTAGTTTATTTCATTCGCTCATATTTTTATATCATGTTCTTTTCAATATCTCCTTTAAACATCCAAAGCCTAAATATTATGAAACTTAAACAGCAAAAATTACAAGGTTTGTAGAATGAAACGAATCCATTCTATGACAAATTCTTATCAGCTTCATACAGTCTGAAATAAATTCATTTTATTCTTCATACCTTGCTGTTGTTGCTCTGTCTAAATTTATTGAAGGATCTGATCGTGTGAAATCCTGTGAAATTATTCACTGGAAACTGGACTAATGTTCTAATAATATCATACTTTCCCCAATCCATATTTAGTTGTAAATAGTATGTAAATTATCTTTGAGTTGCTTATTTATTAATACGAATATCTAAAATAATTATCGATTTTACTTTCACTATTTTGATAACTAGTCAGAAATCAAACATTTGACATCCCTTGGTTTGGGAGGTTTGTGGAGCTTGATTTAGGTAGATTCGTAATGGAACCCACGAAACGAATGACATCAACCTCATTGAAATACAGGATTCCTCAAAAGTACGTATTTACGTTCTTATTGGGGGATGAATTCAAGACCTCGAATTCTTGATTTGCTATAAATTACGAGGTGAACAGTTTCAACAAGTCTTTCTTACTTGTAAATATTATTTGAGCATTGGGAATAAAATTTTGGAGTTCTAATAAGAGTCCTTGAATAATGAAGTTCAGCAATGACGAGATCGAGACATTTATCGCCTATAATTTTGATTTTTTTGTTAATTGACAAGTGGAAAATATGGACCATTTTATGCTGCTTAATGAATCGATATTAACATGCTTCCCTCTTAGCCTAGCAGTACTGGGATGAAATCTTGTTAGGAAACTAGTAGCTTTCTAGCGTTTCTTCGATTTTAATTGGTGTATAACTAACTTCAACTCGTGATGCAAAGTATCTTTATATTGATCAGTTAAAAAACATTGTTATTATTAACTGGTTTTTTGATTCATTTTCTGTACTGAATATATACGGAACAAAAGTGTACTTCACTTACAAAATAGAATTGAATTATTACTTACTCTTAACTTTCTGTCCGTTGGTATTGAAAAAGTAATAAACAGCTTAGTAGAAATGAAACTAACTTTACAAAAAACAATGAGAATATTCAACGGAAAAATTAAATTAAATGTAGAATATAAGTTTACATGTTAATCAGATTGGTTTTATTTTACTGAAATATGTATCCCTTTTAATGTCATTTTTGAATGAATGATGCATTAAATCATATAGATGTATGAAACACAACACTTACTCGACGTAGAAAATATGGTACTGCACCTTTACGATCACCACGAAAATAAAGATGGATTACCATAGTGGCTAAAAATGTTGATAAAGTGATCATGATCATATTTAAACAGAAAAATACACCTACAATGGAATAAATAACATTAAATTTATGTAATAATTCTAATTCAATCACAGATTTTTCAATAATTCTTAATATCTAAAAGTGTAGATTTTACAAGAGTTCCAGTTATTCGATTAGACAATTTATGTTAATGACTACAGATTAGTAGAACTAATTATAAAAAAAATAATATCATTATAGATTATTTGATTTATATCAGTTTTATGAATCTAAATTCAATCATTATTTTATTTTCAAGTAAAATATCAAAATATCTTTTCAAAAAATATCAAAATTATTTAAGTTTACTACTTAAATAACGAACTCCGTCTATAACTCTTCTATAGTTACTGCCGGTCCCAAGCCCGGGTAAAGGAGGAGGGTTGAGCATAGGATCGTCAATCCTATCCCGTAGAAAAAAAATCTTACCAAAAAAAAACGCCAACCAGATTAAACAAATTAAACTTAAATAACAAATAAAAATGGGATTAGTATAAGATTTTCTAAAGAAAACTTTGTTTTTTCTTCATTTGGCTATGTTAAACATACTGTTTAATTTAAATTTACTTTATCTAAATGAAGCTAATTTTACACACAGATATATTAGTTAAATTATAACAAAATATAATCCTTTTCATTTTAAACCGTTCAACAATAAACAAATTGAACATTATGAATATTTAATATCTCATTAAACTATAAAGAAGATAATAAATCTATTCATATCTGAAATTAATATGTATCACTTCAATAATAACAATATGGAATTGTATATACAAACCAGTTAAGAAATATTTAAGAAACTATAATAAGCTAAATTGAACTTGATTATAGTCAGTTTCTAAGTCACTATATGTTGATGATTACAAAATCGTATAGACTTTCAATAATTAAGATTGATTACTGTTCCTTTTCATCTATCATTGAACAATATGGATTTATAATATGGTAACAAATTGAAAGTTAAAGTTTTTAAAAACAATGAAGATATACTACTAAATGATACAGTGAATTTAAGTCAACTAAACAGAATTATTTGACTTTATAACTTCAATGAGGTATAAAAGGTGAAAGCAAATGAATATTAGTAGAACGAATCAATGATTTCGTTGTATTACTGAAATTACTTACCGATCAATGGAAAATTTTTCACGGCACTTGGTGTAGACTCAGCAAGTAGTAATAATAAGACAAAAAAAGCCACAAATATATTCATTCCTACAAAGAAATTAATCATTGTACATGAAAAATGTATTGGTAAAACTTAATAAAAATCATTTCACTTTATTTTACCTTAGATTGTTAATATTAAGTAGTGCTTTATCACATCCCCTGTCCAAGATCAATCTGAAAATCAAGTCTATTATCAAGCATTACTGTCTCGTTTAGTTTCACCCAGTTTAATATCTAACAAGATCATCACTCGAAGAAATCATTCACTGATAGGTATTGAAATGTACTCTACATTTGAATAGTTCGCAAGAATACTAGCAAAGCAAAAATAATTTTCATTATAGATCAACATTGCATGAACAGCCAAAAGTGACGCTAAAGTCAATAAAGTTCACTAAAATGATTAAACAAACATGAACTGATTTTTGATTCTTTTCATTCACCAGATGGCTGAAATAACTCACATCCAATCGTATCCAACATCCATTTTCTATAGGGATATCATTTTTGCGTTAAGGTCACATTTTATTATTTTTAATTTAATACTGGTATGTTGAAAGCTCTACTAAGAACCACCACAAGCTCCATTCACATTATAATATCAGTATATAAAACACTGTTTAGTTTTAAAATACATTTATGAGAATCAGAAATCAGCATTTTAGCTTTGTATTATATAACAGAATTAAAAGTCAGATGAGTGCTGCACTTAAAAGTTATCCTCACACTAAAAAATTATTGTTTTTCCTTTTGTTAACTCACAAACTTATCTATGTTGTGTTCTGAACAATTACTATTATTATTATTATTATCATCAGCTTTATCCAATATTATATTTTTGGTACAATACAGAATTCTCAGCGCAAAGTATTTCAACAAGTTTCCGTTTCTTTCTTCTTGGTCGGTCCTGGCGATAAATATTGAGTGATCGCCAGTCAGATGTTAGCAGTTCACTAAATGAACATCTGAATAATGTACATTCTTTTCGCTGTATATTGCGAGCAACCATATTGTCTCATTGAGTTTTTTGTAACTTTGACATAGAAAGGTTGTACACTTTTCAGAAACGCAGCACAATAGGTTATGTGATTAATAAACATAATGATATATTAAAACAAACAAAAATAGATAACGTGTTGAAATATCTAGATGGCAGGAACAGGTAGCCCAGATGCTCTAGCAGGCCACCATTTACATAAGTATTATCTAAAAGTGATCAAATTGTACCATTTAATTTCATATAATTTCTCCTATTGACAAATCTGACTAAAGAACAATAAATATAACAAAATAACATGAACTCATTTTATTTTATGGTTTCTTATCAACCGTACTTCTCAAACAGATGTTAGATTTATTAGCCCTTTATTTAAAGTAACAGTAACATGTACAGCGAAATCTTATAATCTAAAGTATTCAAGACATCTAGAGCAGTTGTATATGTTTCGGCCCATAAATTACTCGTCAGTCCAAGAAACTTCATTTTATTACCACCATACACAGACAACTATGTCTTGTGACATTTATGATTTTTGAATTATGAATAAAATATGCTTATAAAAGGAATTTTAGTTTCTTAATTGTTCAAAATTATTGGATTCGATGCATATCCCCCCATATGAATTACTATCAAACTAAATTTCACTATTTTTTCAAATAAAAATAGATTTTAGGACTATGTAGAAACTTTTGACATTTATTTAAGTAGATGCTTTCTGCGGTACAAAAATAAAATGTTTGTGAATTATTTTGAATTAGGAAAATAGCTAGGCTTTAGCCGTTAGAAGCTAAAAATGGTAAACTAATTTTTCTTTGAAGACGTTTCATTATCCATAGGAAAGTTTATTACATTTAATATAAAAAATTGTTAGTTAGTCAGGTAAATACATGGTATGGAGATTTGTATATCATTCTTAAAGAGATGTACCGTTCTTAGTGTTTTTTTTTGGGGGGGGGAAAGCTATAGAGACCTACTTAGATTAACTTCCAGTGTTGATCATGAAAATATTAATCAAAAGACTCAGTAACTGTTCAATAATCAGATAATATTTATGAATAACTTTAACATTAAATTGTAAAATGATGATGTAATGTTAAGTGAAAATTATATTCTTGTTAATATGTTTAAAACACCTGTTAAGTTGTTTATATACACCTTACAACAACAAACAACTTGATTACCAGTAATAAATTTAAACCAAATTTTTTTAATGAAAACTTTAGAGAGTAATTTAAACTAGAAGTGTCAAAAATTTATCGCTTTATGATCACTTATTGATCAAACTGAACATAAAAGTGCAAAACCCAAAGTATTGTTGTGATTAGAATGAAGTTTCGGAATGTGCATAGCTTCTTATAAACAGACCTCTGTTGTAAGACTGTTGATTCATATTATCTCAGGTATACTTAGCAGTATAAATAAACTTTCATAGACCGACTTTGACTAGATTTTTGAATTACATTAAATAAACATTCGATTGAACAGTACACCCTTAGCCAAGATATTCAGCTGTCATATCCTAGTTATATATTTCCACCCACTAGTGACTGCCTAAAAGATGAGTTCCCGATGTTGTAACCGACATGGTTCGGCTATGATGGGATTGATAAAGTTGTTACTGATAGAATTGGATAACATTCCGGTTACATCGTGAATTCCTTGAAGCTAAGAACGTAGAGCGTTAGGTATCTACGAAAAGGTTGAAATTTAACGCGCTTTCGACGGTGGCCGAATGTCCTGTGTTTGATGAAACAGCCATTCATTTCTGTTCGATCCGTTTAGCCTTCTACATTTTCGGTCAGTTAAACGTCTTAAAAAAATCTGTACACATATTTTCCCAGTAAACTTTCAAGCGTCATCAACATAAATAATATAAATGGATGATTATTTTCACTTAAAACACGGTATTAATTAATAATTAACTTTTAAATCCTTTAGTATGACGTTCTTCATAACAGTCCTTGAATAATGTTCTCGTTATTCGCAATCCCAAAAATGTTCTAAAATGATAATCCTATGTATTTATAAATAATTGATCAAAAATGAAATTAATGGTACACTTTTTGACAGCATATTTTTCACACCATATGATGAACAAATAGTCATTATCTTAAATCAAACACCGGCCAAACTGTTACTTGGTAATATTATCATTTATTTGCATTTATAATTTGCAAAGGAAAATGGATAAAACTTTGAAGATCTCAGTGAACGAAATATTTTTATTTAAAATAAACGTAGATTAGTTTTAAGGTTACTCAATTGGTTATGGTAGCACAAAATGTTATTTTAAAAGGGTGCTCCAACCAATAAAAATTTGACTCAAATAGAAAATATTTTGAAGAAAGGACTGGTATATTAAGTTAAATTTCGAAAAGTAAATATCTAAATTTTACTCAGTACTGATTTTATCTTCTATAGGGATCACCAACGCACTAATAAAATGCTTGTTTTTCTTAGATTATGTTATAGACAATCTACCGAATGCATATATTTCAGTCTGTCTAGGTAATTCAGTAAAGTATTTCGGATTACCAATCCAAATATTACTATTTCAAATCCCTTAAAAAATATATATTTAATTTTTTTGAACTCCAAATAATACTCATTTGTTCAAAAGGCTACTCACCGACTTCTATATGTCATCTACCATTATGCTTTTTCTTTATCGTAATAGTAGTAAGTTATTGTCAAATCACATTTTTAAGTTCCTGAACGATCAGCAAACAGTTTTTTAAACAACTTAGATCAAACGTACCTGATTTAATCAACCGATACCAGTTTCTGTGTTCGTTTAATAATTGCTATATTTAATATAGTCCCATTCTAATCATAAGTCAAGATAGCTAACTAGTTATTACATGTAAGCAATGCTTGAAATAAAATTTAGATTTCTCTAATTAAAATATGTTTTCTAGATCACCGTTTTTTCAAAGATTGATACCATTTATTTAAATGTTTCTATATTAATCCTACATTTTCGGGTTCTCGTAAACATTTACTTTACTGTGTAGACAAGATAATGCCCCTCTTATTCATTATGATGAAAAACTCAGATGGGATTTCTGAAACTAAATATCACAACATTTATAAACAATATGAGCACTAAATGTACTAAAGAAATATTTACCATATTAAACATAGATTACGAATGCTGAAAATGAATTAAAACTTAGATGGTTTACGGGAATATAGAAATCAATTAATCTAGAATGTGGGGTATGTGAAGGATATTTAAGTACATTTTTTGGTTATGTCCTACAAAACACTCAGTAGTTGATATATACTTATCATCAATGGAAGTGGTTTTACAAAGTCGTGAATGTAATTCGATGCTAAAGTTTGGAAAAAATACTTTTACAGCCTACAAAAATATTGTTAGTGATGTCAGATTCTCTAAGTTAATTGAATTCATCAAATAGTTATGAATTATCAATAGAGATTTTCAGTATTAATTTAAAACAAGTTTGATCGATGTGAATATGTACAGAAATGTTGAACACATTTCTCCGGAAGAAATTGATAGTGTTTAGTCACTCTTAGAAGCCTTGTTATTTCCTTATAAGGTTTCGTTTTTGACAATAGTTCATTTTAAAAGTTGACTTTAAAACATATAAACAAATAACGATTTTCTTATCAACCAAAAATATTTGTTTATCTAAATATGCTCTATAATTTCAAACTGATTCGAGGTCTAAGCTTTTATAATTTATTCCGAGTGTGTTTCTTCCAAACATTCTCGAATGAACTTCTTTTGATTTTCATTAAATCAATTTTACAGTCTGAATTCGGTTGTTCTTACTCTTAGACTTTGATGAATAACAAAGTTGTTATTGTATAAGCAGTGGACACTATTCCCAACACACTATTTATCACTTACAAGACTTTTAAATATGTGACTAGAACATAGTCATTTTACTGTTTTCAGAAAAACATGAACTTAGGTCAGATTTCAATGTAACTTATAATACTAAGATTATTTCGCATACATAAGTATTCATTCACTTATTTTACTTAAGTGAAGATCTGAAATACATCAATGTCTTGACTATTTACAAATCTTGATGTAATCAATAATTTTGTGCTCAGTGTAGACATATGGTGCTCATATTCATTTAACTATTTTGGTTAATAAATCCAATAATTTTCTAATAATAGTGATCTATTTCTGGTTTATGATTATGATAGTCATTCTACTAATGTAGAAAAATACTTAAATCATTTCATTTTCTGAAAATATGATCATCTGATCACCTTCAATTGTGAAGAAAGTTTGATGAAGCTAAATTAATTAATTAATTCTTCAATAATTAGCTTTAATAAGGTAATGTTAGTTAAATTTATTAGCATACCTTCTGTACCATTAAACTACAGAAAATATAGAAAAATATGAAATATTTCAATCAAAATTGTTGGTGTACATTACACTTAAGAACTCAAACATCTACAGCTCATTAACCACAAATTTATTTGATTTGCAATTTGAGTTGATATATGAAAGTTAATATTTAGTCGCTTCATTAGCCATATAACTTGGATAAAACTAACAATTTTAAGATGCTGTTTCTGAGCTCCTGATTGAATATCCGTAGGTAAATAATCCTCAAGGGATTTGAAATAGCGGTATGTAGATTTGTAAATATAAATATTAGTTAATTAGTTGGTTTTTACATTTTTTTCTCAACAGGACTATCTTACGTGCATTTAAAAATAATTTCTAAATCGTTTATAAATTTCATAAAGAATAAGGCTGAAATCTAATGAAAGCTAAACATTTTCTCGGTCTCATTTTTTAACAATTTGTTAATTTTCTTATATGACTCATTTTATTTTATCCGAAGAATCATCTCAGATAAGAACTACTTAGAATTGAAAATCCCACTGAGAAAGTAATAACACTGATGATTTCCCAACGCTGAATGAAATGATTGTAAACTGCTACTGAAAAAATAAGACACCTTCAAACAAGGTGAGTATCGATGTTTTTTTGATGAAGTCTTTTATGAAGGCTGGAGTAGATAAAGGAGCAGATTGTTGAAAACGTTTTGCGTAAGCCACCTGCGTGGCTCTTTGTTTCGAAGTTGATTATTTTGCAATGCAACGCTACAGAATAACCGTATTACTGCAGTTTCGACCGGTATTTATCTACCGAGTGGTAAAAAATGTTAGAGGAGCTAAGTGTTATTGGGTAGGTTTAAAAGTGACAAATCCTTTTATTTAACTACGGTGTATATAACCAAAAACTGTGAATTATGTACACCGTATTTTCCTCAAAAGGATCTTAAAAAGCGTGTGACTCGTAAATAAAATTAACTTGATATGACGTGTATCCTCAAAATCAACTTCATTGTCATTCAGCGAGTAATAACGATATCTGTTACTCCAGCTCAAGCTACACTTATTGAAGTAAACACATTTATGAATGTCTTACAAAATAAATGTTCAGATTCTACATATATATACAAATGTGGAAGTAAGCTGAGAACTTGCTTCGCTTTAATTGTTATAGAATCTTGATGTTGTACGATTAAGGTTACGAGTCATTTACATTCCGACGGATATTTATTACTGTTGCTTATTAAAAGCTGACCAACTTACAGTCAGTAATTGTAATCATCAGTAAATTGGCCGTGAACTCAAACTTGTAAGTGAATATAATTCTGATAACTGAACCACCATTTTAGGGGAAATATTGTTTCCCTTATAAATTATGTTAATGTGTTCATTCTTTTGGGAAATTATATGCATGTAATTAAGTGCACTTACCAAGCATCATTTTTGCTGGAGATTCTGGAGGCAACCAAAATACAACCAATGTTAAAGATGATAACAACACACATGGAATCACTAACATGAATACATAAAAACTCGGGTTCCTTCTCAAACGTATTAAATATCGTAAAACTGGATATTCTCTTGTGATCACTTCGTTACCAACAGTTTGACTTCGACGTCGATGTTTCTTAACCGATCGAATTTGTAAAGTACGGTTGACATGGTGTACTTCACGTTCTTTCTCACCATCGGTACGCCATTCATTACTTGGTACGTAATCTGAGAAATCTAAATATGGCATTTCTTCTATGGGAGGTGAATCTGGAATCCACCATGATATGTCCATTTGAGTTCTATCATACGTTAGGGATCCAAATTCTAACATGCATATCTATATTAATAGGAAAGAGTTATTGTTTAAATAGATAAACGTTAATATTTTTTAATGTGACAGTAAATAATCCAATAGAACTATCGTAACCACATATCAATTATATCTTGCTACATGTGCTAAACTAGTCCTGTTTTGGTACTATTCCATATTTCAATTTGTTATTAATTATTAATTAGTTATCTTCTAAGCTCACACTGATCAGGAAATATAAAAATCCAGTTATGATAAATTTCTTTTTCGTATTTGCTCAGACACGAAATAACGAGCAGTTATTGAAAGTCATCGGACCAAGGTAAAAACATAATAATGTCCAAATATGAATTCCCAAGTCCCCTTACTCACACATGAATCAATATCGTAACGACTAGCTTGAAGTTCATATTTAGAAAACCCATAGAGTGACTATTTAACCACGATATGTATAGAGATGAATAACTTAAGGATGACCACAGATAAAAATTTATCACTTCACCATAAACTTTATAAAAAGAAATTATTTTGTGCTATTCTTTTATTATTATTTTATATCTCATTTTATTGATCAGAAGTTATTATTAATTAGAAAGACATCTCAGATAAAATTTATTTGATCAAACGTATGAAACATTCTTTCCAAACAAAATCAAAATTATTCTTATACGTATAAAATAAGTTTGAAGATGTCACTCTAAGTTTCTTAAGACTCTTTCAGTTTGTATTTCACTTCAAACAAAAGTGATATATATAATCATTCTTAAGAGTTACTGTTTTCTTATTAGTTATATTGAAGATTGGATTCTGATCAGGCTAGTATCCATTTGTCTACAATTAAGAAATGTCTAATTTGTAGACTAGTGCAAAAGAGATTAAGTGACCCGGAGTATCATGACTTCATTTAAACTGAAATTATTAAAAATTAAAATCCTAATATACGATGACAAATGATATTTAATAGGATCCCAAAAAAACTGCTTTTTTTCAAGTACTCATTTCAGTTGACTCATTGTCAGAATAAAGTTTAATGTGATCTAATGAAAGACACGTTTTAGCTAACTAAATAAATGAATTTCCTGTACATGATAATAAACCATTGTAAAATCATTAAAAAGATCTACTCTATTATTTCTCAATTAAAATATTATATAGATTGATTGAAATGAAAGATTTATGGTGGCAAAGCAATAAAATTTTAAAAAATTAATAAACAGCACATTTATGACATTCAAATGAGTATAACCAATATCATTCAAAACTTTTAACAGAATATTAGATCTGGGAAATTAAAAGATATACATTGTACGAATAAATGAAGGATATTAGATATCCTGACTGTTGATTAACATGAATAAAAGTGATAAATAAACAAAAGAAAATACCATTCCTTATTTTTTTAAATTATTGTCTGAACTATTTTTGTGATATTCGTTCTTAGGTTTCATCAGTTCATCAGTTGTTAGGCCTAATTTTCAAAGTAGTAATATAACGAATTCAGATATGGTTCATTTGATTCATTCAAAGTAAATGATGCATTGACTAGAAATAAATGGAATTTGTAACTTCTACAACCGAAAAGCATTATACTTAAGCGACAGTTATAATTAGTGAGACATTTCGTCACACTGACTCAGCCAAATCAAATATTTCCACGATATAATAGCACAAATTTGAATTTTATTGATAATCAGTATTACAAGAAAGTATAAATTTGATATGAATGATCAAGCATTTTTATTCAGTATTTTCCTAAATGGTGTTGTACATTCTGGATCTAGGATGGAGAATCTATTCAAGTGACCAACTGATGGATTTAGCTAGTTCTCATATGTTTTCTTTTTAAATTAAATAATTCAGCCTTATATATATATATATATATATATATATATATATATATATATATATATATATATATATATATATATATATATATATATATATATATATTAGTGTTGGACTCCTGATTGACTTAAGTTTACGTTTAAGAACAACACATACATATTTGACTCTGAATAAAATTTTAAAGTTAATTAACTACACTTGTAAAAGAAAGAATCAAACAAGATAAATGAATATGGAACGTTTTAATGTCTAGAAAATAATAAACATCACCCTTTTCATGTGATTTTCTAAGTTCGTGTGACTGTTTGACCTTTGTTGGCCTGTTCGAAATAATAATTTTAAAACGAAAAGTCAAGCCTCACTTTATTTAAGTTTTCTGTTTTATTTGACAATTAAATCAGAGAATTGAAGTTATCCTTATTAGATTCATCTTTATTACTTTCTTGTCAGGTTACTAATGTGAATGAGAAATGAATCAGTGTTAACTAACTCTGTCACAAAAATGAGTCTTTTCATTTCTGAGGTTAGTTATTCTGTTAATGTTTGTGTTGAATATCCTTTCTTCTCAGAAGGAAGTAATCGTCAAAATTTCTCATCGATCATACTAAGAGTACTATCTTACATTTTCTTTGATGAATAGTAAATAAATGATATTCATGCTGACTGTTTCGAAGTTTCGATTAACTTGTTAATGGTATAATTCACAAATCTAATTGATCAGGGCTATGTTTTTGAAAAAATAATTGTTTTCTCACACAAACAAACAACTTTTTTATTTTTAAACCATTTAAACTTGATAATGGAAGTAAATTTATTGGCAAATAAGTAGATTCTATGTACCAATAATAGTTACATGGTAGAAATGATGTATCATAGTTTATTTTGTCTGTAAAAAATCAATGTCTATAACCTTCATATGTTATTTTTTGAGTTTAATCACGGAACTAATGCTGAAAGTTATGACAACGGAATACATGGATGGTATCCACATGGAACTCTCAATGTATCATCAAAAAAAATCAATGCTTATTGTTCAAAGAAAGACCAATAATTGATTGCAAGTGATTTGTATTGGCCAGCAGGAAATCCCGAATCGCGTCTCAAACTGTGGAACTTTGTGGCACGAGTTAGAACACCACGGGAAGCATTAATTCTCTGGAGATTATGAGTGAGATTTACTGACAAGTTCCAACCGATAATAATCCTATACTCTGGGTTCCTTACAGTCTACGTCCAACTACTTTACATTGAAGCGCTGTGCGTATGATGTTGATTGACTCATATTAGTATTGTTGCACATAACGTGATAGAATTTGAACAAAATTGGACAACTATGCCCTTGGTCACTCAGTACCCAAACAGCAATCGATGTAACTCCTTAAGTGCTGATAGACACAATATGAGAGGATTAACAGCAAACGAATTACTGGGTAAATTAGAAAATAGCTAACCTGTGTGTCAAATGGGAAATATGTGATCTCAACTTCACATGTACTTTTAAATAATGCTTGTGGAAGCCATAGTGTTTCTCCATTACTTGAGACGACAACACGAGCGTCTCTATATTCGCGTAAGCGTTCATCAGCACTAAAAAGATCACAGATAAATATATAAGGCTTGATAAGAATGAATCTGCGCTAGTGCATTTCCATTCATTTAACATAAGCTAAAACATTATGTCACATTTCAAGTTCAAACTCAAACAAAATCTTTTAACTTCGTTAACGATAATTAGTCATAATGAAAAGAGCCGATTCACAATACTATTTACCTAGCTTGAAATCTCGGACAAGTTTAATTGTTTGCATCATATTCAAACCTTAGTTAGTCAAATAGTGAAAACCAGGAATCACTGGTAATCTGTTTCGTCCTAGTATGAGATAATTAGGCAGTGCGTATACACGACCTCGCCAACCGGAATCAAACTGTAGATCTACAGGTCTCATGTCGACCTTTTGACCTTTAGACAATTGTGTTGTTATCAAAAGGTTTATATTCGTGAATGCAAATTATTCTAGGAATCACATTGAGTCTAGTACCAATAAACACAGAGTAGCTATTTCAGTTGAGACGTAAGAAATACATATTCATATAAATTATTTATCTGAGTAAACTCTAAGACAGCATATTGAAATCACGTATTTCTCAATGAATTCTCGACTTATTAACATATAAACCAATATTCACCTGGCTATAATAATTATCTCATATTAAACAACAATAAGTATTGAAAAGAAATGCTTATTATGACAATTAGTTGAAGACCAGTAAATTCATGTTTAACACTGCAATCATCAATTAGAATTTAAATAAGTCTAATACTATAGAGAAATATATCCATTCCTATACACATTATGTAAATCTCAGCAATTTATTTATCGAATTCAAACGGCAAATTATTAGATCACATATCTGAATGATCCGAACATGATTCATCCACATGAATGAAGATAGTTTCCATAGCTTGTAACCGTAACAAGTAGTTACTTCTAGAAAGAAATATAGAATATCCGATATTTGTGCACCTTAACAGATAAAGATTTAAGGTATCAAAATTCCTTAAGGTATTATCAATAAAACAGAGTAAAATAAAATTGATCACAATCAGTAGTAAAATTATGATAATATTTGTAATGTCCTGAAGCATAGAAACTGAACTTTCTCATGTATCATGACTCAGTGTAATCCACTTCTATGAAATAAATAAATAACCAAACTAAATTAACACAAGTTTATGTAACATGAAGGAATATAACAAAACATTTAGATCAATCAAAATCAAAGAATGTATAATTATATCATTATTGTCATGTAGTCAAGGTGACTCTGTTAAAGACATCAACGAGTGCATTTGTGTATATGCTGATGAATATGTAAAGTGTAACATTGGTAATATGCAAGGTTAGAGCTAAACTTTGTGTGTTTATGCGTACAAATGGTGTGAGAAGTGAATAAAATTAAATGCAGTTGTTTGGATGAACGATTCAATTTGGATGGATTGTCGGGCTTTCCTTTCTATCAAGCCTAGAGGGATTAAACGCTATATGAAACCATTAATAAACATATCCCTCTGAGTAGTAGTAAAGATGATTTATTCAACTTTTACTTCCACCAAATTGACTTTTACTCAG